TTCTGTCACTAATGATGAAAAATGAATGAAATAGAGATAAATATTTTGAATAATCGATTGTTATTTTACTTCAAATTTTAACTTATGCTTGATATGAAGAGTTTGTTTGTTTATTTGTTTGTTAGACAGATACAAGTCAACCAAATGATCATATGTAAATTTATTACTCACTGAGTCTGAAAGAAGGATGAAATAGTTATTATTTTGTGATCATATAGCATTACATATAGCTATTTATATGTCACTGTATTCGATAATTTATGAGATCATTGATACATTCATATCAAATAGTTGTTACTCAAGAGCTGTCATTAAAACTAAACAGAGTGAAATTGATTGATTCACCAGCAATGAGAAGCAATGAATGTGTATGATACACACAATAGACTCATTAGCGTTGATAGTTTGAGGCGTCTAGTCACTTGGAAGCATTTAATGTCAGTTGATTACCTAGTGAAATTGTAGACTGAACAGACATTTTCTGAATACTTGTGCCTTTTTGATTATATTTTATTTGTCAGTACCCTGTTTACTTTGTTAACCATCTGTTGGGGGGTCTAGTTTAATTTTTCACTTTAGAAGGTGTTAAGCATTTAACTCTGTGATAGAATCAGATTATTGTACATCAGGAGCTTATTTTCCACAGGTAGTCGTAGATTTGAACTCCATTGCACATACCGAGATTTGATTAGATGTCGCTCACAAGCATGTAGTTGATATGGGAATATATCACTATCAATGTATAATTGGGAACTGTAAAGTCTTGGCGAAAATCTTCACTATCTGACACTGATGTGCTGTTCCATAATCATAATGACGACTAAACATATATTCATTCTTACCAGTGCTAGAACTAAGATTATAACAGGTAAATGTAACATAAATAAACCAAAACTGCATCACAAATATGAACTGCCAATCTGATAGTCAGTGATCATCGAAATATTTACCTAGATACAAAAAGCTAGATTGGATTTTGCTGCCTTACTCCATCTGTGGCGCCGCTATGACACCTGATTGCTTATTAAAGACCGAGTGTACTGCCCTCCACTTCATTCTATTCCACTTTGTAGCCACGGGACTTAGTTTTTAAGGTTATAAAGTTTGAGAAAACTTCAGGTGTTTGACCATTGTTGCGTTCGCAGCATAGGCCGTGAGTCACGGTGTTATCATGTGATTAACCTATAAATCAGGTGCGGAGTTTTCAACGGAAGAGGTAAGTCAGTTGACGAGGTTGTGAACCTTCATCGACTCAGGCGCCTGAGGGACATGCTTCATGTGCGTAATCACCGTCTGCCAAGTTCCACAATGTTAGCTGAAGTAGGATTAGGCTGGAAAAAAGTTAGTGATGGGCAGACTAAAACATGACATCATTACATAAAGTCCTTGACTGCTGTCCTGAGCCGGTAGGGGTCCACGTAACCACCGGAATCGGCGCTTGGAAACCCTGGACAACATGCTTTTGAATCGGTCTCACCAGTGCAGATATATCTACACATTGTCTTTATTCTAATCATTATACTGAAATTCAGTATTATCTTATTCCTCCTTGTTGTCTATCATGACTTCTTACCGTTTTTGACATTTTTTCGTATCTCTTTACCTTTCCTTTTCGTGCGTTCACGCTAGGTGTACTGATATGAGGTTTGACGACTTAGACTGTTATGCTTTAATATCAGGTCTGTTGCTGCTATTGATTGACTGAGAAATATCCTTACTGAATACTGGATATAATCCTATGCATCTCCGACTTTTCAGCGATTGACTTACTCCCGTATGGGAACTTGGCCTACTTGGAGTACGCCTGCAACATAGTCTTGTTAGTCATAGAGGCTGACTAAAAGCAAGGTCTTTTAAAGCCATGAGCAGAAATCCGATTTTGTTCAGGATACTTACCGCGCCTGTCGTATGAAAGATGATGCTCTAGGGTTTACTGCATAAAATCCTTGTTATAGGTATAGGTGGTGAAGTAGTGGGATGCACTGACCACTTCATTTACCTGGGAAGTTGCATCAGCTCAAATGGGTAGGTTATTGACAAAATCTCAGCTTTCGTGCAAAAATGCCGTTCAGCATTTGCCAACCTACTTCATCTGTGCTGCTCGCAAGTTATCCGATTACTTATCAAAGGACAAGTATACTGTTTATATCTCTTTCTGTTCTACAGTCGTTGGAAGTAGATGATATGCAGCAACTGCGGTTTTTTGACCGCAGGCATCCTAGCAACATTGTCTTCATTTGGTGCATTCATTGTGTGACAAATGTTGAGATTGAGGTCCAGACTGCCAAGGAAAAATAGGGTGGCAAACAATGAGATCATGAAACATCACCAACTGTGGTGACTTAAGCATGTTTTGCTTGCAGAGCTACTGCCTACTTTTACGTGCTATGTTAGTATAAGTGTGATTAGATCAGAAGAAAGCTGAGAGTGGTCAAAGTGAGCCATAAGGTCTCCAACTGTTAATCCCAACCTCCTACTGAAATGGAGGCTACCTAGTTAAACTCTTGGAGATGATAAAAATCAGTGGTCGTCTATTCTTTGTAATATCAATCAAAATTGATTACAGTAGTGGAGATGTACACACTGTCATGTTTGAAGTCTTGGTTATTTCATGTACCTTTATCTGTCTATTTGCTCTCTGTCTCATTCGCTTTTTATTAGTATTATTCTTGTCCTGTCCACTTCTTTGTATGCTACTGTGAAGTCTAGTATAGTCTAGTATACTTCTGCGCCACCTCCTTCTTTGATTTGCTTATCCACATGAAGAGTTGTAGACTTCCGTTAACTGATCACCAGAAGGTAATGATATAGTTTTATTCAGTCCTTATGTTTGTATTGTGCTGATTAAGGCATTTGAAATCATTATGAACTCTTAATGTTGTTACTTGTATTATCCTATTATTGATTGGACCTAATTTGATCGGTCTCTATTCGCATATGAGCTCCTGCACGGACGCCTGGATATTGCCTGTATTTTAATTTTTATATTAATGATGAATACATGGGCAATATCGAGACATCCTCACAGGACCCCAAATGCCGATACAGACTGATTAAATTCGGTCCGGCCAACGACGGGATGATACAAGTAACAACATTAAAACTATACCCGTTGCACAAGAAATGGCTATCGTAACTCGGTGGCCTAGTAAATTACGCTCTGGCGTTTGAAGTGATGGATCCCGAGTTCTAGTCTTAGTGGGAACAACATCGTTCACTTGGAAGCAGGTACATCCAGCTAACGAGTCCCAAATAGGACGAAACGTGCATCCTGGATTACGCTGTAAGTCACTATCCATCATCATCATGAACTGTGTTCGATTTCACTCGATCAGTTTGTTTGATAAACTAATTTAGTGTGGATCAGTATTTATGCTTTCTGGATGGTAATAAATATACTTTTCAGGTCAACCAAATGTTTAATGTGACAATTGAGCTAAGCTGTTATACTTCTTCTTTCACTGCGTTTTCGGAGTATATCATGGAAAGACCTGTTTTATTTAGGTTTTATGTCTTTTTTGACACTCAGCGACAAGCTGCAGCCAAAATCTTGAGGAAACTCGTATCCTGTTAAAGATTTATATTTGCGCAATACAGTTTCAAACTGAAAGACTACTTATAAGCTAGTCAAGCTTGATTAAGTGACCAAACTACATACATGATCGGCAGAATTTAGTCAGTATGCTAGTTAACATTCAGTAAATGCTTAGTATACATAAGTCAGTCCTTATGGAAGTCAGTTGAATGTAAATATACTGGCGGCTAATTCTCCTACTTCGGAACTCAGTGACGCCGGTTCAAATCCTCATGTTTGCAGATAAACGTTTTTCATGAGTATCTGCTTTTTATCACACCAAAATTAGTATGATTTAAGATCATTACATGATTTACCCTAGTTAGATCTTAAATAAATGTCTTTGATGAACTAGTATTGCTATTTTAAAACTATTGCGAAAAATATTTTAAAAGTCAGCTAAATCTGCATCATGTCGTTTAGAATAATCACTTCAGGACATATTATTCTGCCTACAATCAAGATAGGAGTCATATCATATGCAGTCTGTTGCAAGAGTGACAAACTAGCTACGGGACTACACAACTGATTTCCATCTGTTTATCAGAGACATCCTGTTGGTAACGACAATTAATAGCCCTATACAACTCCGTCTATAGTTCTTAAGGATTATGGTACCATTTATGTTGATGAAATACTACCTTGACAAAAGAAATGTTCATGAAAGTTTTATGCATAACCTTATCACAGCTACATGTTTATCACACTAATAAAAGTGAATGAAGTTAGGAAACCCTGTCTATCCAAGTTTTGCATCCATTGACAAATCGAATTTGCAACGTTGACAAAATTCGTGTCTTTTCAGAGATTCGAACCTCAGTATACTTATCCCAGAGACTTCACCATTAGACTATTCAGGCTATAATTGGTTCTAAATTCTACAAGGAGTGACGAATAACTCGTCTATTAAAGAGTATCAGTTCATTGTGCAGTAGTACCTCTTAACCAAATGGTAAGACACTGTACTAAAGAAAAGTGACTGGCCTTCTGAACAACGCGAACTCTTCCATGGTTATAGATACGTCATGTAGTGCAGAAAGTTTTTACTTATTGACTACTTAGTCACTATGGGATATTAATTTCGACTGAACCATCTATTTCTTCTAAACGCTAAATACTTTTTTAATTAAGAGGTTAGCCAGGAGTAGATTGATTGAAGACTTTTTACTCACTAAGAATTGATCCATTGACTCGATAGTCAACTTGCCTGACTAGAACAGCTCTTAAATACCTACACAAAGAAGTCATATATGAATACTGCTGAATATTTCTAGATGATATAACTTATACAATAAGTCTTAATCTTTAGTATCTCAGCTCCAAACGATACATATCTTTTTTGTAAGAGGCGAATGGAAAGTATTGAATAACATTCTAAGACTATGTGTGCTGACCCTTACTATTGTTCAGTATAAAACACCAGTTCTTTCATAAAATTTAACCGATATATTATAGTTAGAGTTGTATAAAATGCAGATGATGAAAGTGCTATAAGTGTAAAGCAACATAAAACAAAAAGAAATATGCTTGTTCATAAATGATAATGGTTACTCATAAGGAAGTTATATATTTTGAAGAATTTAGTGATTATGTTTAATTATGCATTTTTTATTTGGCAAACACCTAATGAGAAAATAAGAATCCCGAAGTGTAAACTAAGCAGCTAAATTAATTACTAAATGGTAGTGTTCATATAGTTTTCAGTACCATTGATGTGTGTAGACGCTGTTCAAGAGACTACACAACCAAAAGATAAGTTGTCTAAGTATTCCTGTATGCGTCGCATTAAAAATAATATTAACACAGGTAAACTCAATGGTAACTCTTGGAATATGCTACGACACAGAATACTTTTATTTGAATGCTATCGTCTTCTGTTGTAAATGTGTTTCAATCAGTCAACTATTACACGTATAGAATCTTCAAATAAAGCTATAACCAACATGATACCAACTCCTGTCGTTAAACCAGCCACTTGAATAACCAACTGTCCAATGCGTGTTTGACCTGGTCTCAATTCTACTGTATTAAGTTCCGGTAGCTGAAATTATTAACGAAAACTAAAACTTGATTATATAAGTAGAAATTTTAATTTCATTTCAGGAAAGAACGTTTACAGTTGGAAGTTAAAATCAGCTAATGCATTTTTCTACTGAATACTGTTTTTTAGATATATTGAAACTCTGTTATCGCGTCACCCGTTAAAGTTAATGAGAATGGCGATTCGACAATGAATTTTTACTGTTCGTGAACTTTTTATCGATTTTGGGGTTTGTGGGGATTTATTGACTTTACTTTGGTCTTCATCATATACCAACATCAACTAGGGAACCATTGCGAAGCTGAGAGCACTGGAAAGCTGTTTCGCTCTAGTATGGGACTCCTAAGCAGGGCGCACCCATGACCTCCGCAAGGATCGAACCCATGACCTTCTGGTTCCGCGTCCAGCACGTTACCATCGAGCCACTGGGTTGGAATTCGTTGGTGCATATTTTCTACTTCTGTCGGTTCACGATATAGCGCGACCTCTATCCAGTGCCATCGTTGAGTAACTATGCTCATGTTCAAATTGGTTGGGTGCACTGGTTACGACTTCTCATTGAAACTTCAGGAATCACCTCCCAAAGCTAGTCACCAATAAGCACTAGATTCGTTCAGTTTTGTTGTCATCTGACTGATGTCAGTCAATGATGAATACGAACTTCCTATCGACCATCAAGAAATATAGTCATAACTTACATCTAGATGGATGGATACAATCGGTAGGAATCTCTGCCTTATATGCATTTAGTGCCTGCCATTATTGACGTTGGTTGGAAAGGCAGTTTACAAGGGCATTCTTAACTGACAGCACAATTCTACTAGTAACTGAATGAAATACGTCACCTTAAGTTAGGTGAGAGCAATTTTAAAAACTGTTAAACCAGGCATTTTAGGCGAATTTGTCACTGGGTTTTTTTTGGTGCTTCCTGGTGTGGACCTATTAGGCTGAACTAGTCAACCTGTCACCATATTAAATCTTTTTATGAATGCCAGTATACCAAAACAAGCTGACTAACTCAACTATGCCAATTCACTACTAAAAGCATTAAAGATCTGGTAATAAACTGATACTTATTGAACGAGATGTAGTGGATATTGTAACTGAGTATCTTAATTGATAAGGCTTTACTATCTGAAGCAGTGGATAGTAAGTTAATGTCTTGATGTGGAGGGAAATATTTAAGCACATTCAACTGATGAGTCTGAAATAAGATGAAGTGAGTGTCCTTGATTCAACTACTAATCATTATCAATTGTTTACAAAAGAGTTTAGAACTAATACACAAAATGTTCTGAATTCATCATACAAAATAATAAATTTGGAATATAATGATTTATTCTATGCCTTGTTTGTTATTTGAATAGCTGACAGTTAAAAATGATATCTTCAGTAAGTTTGTACACCTCATATTGTAAATATAAACAACTATAAATAAGGCTAACATCAATAAATATCTTTTGCTTACCATATCAACGAGTGCAATGTAAATAAATGTTCCAGCAGTGATAGCAAATATCCAATAGCTTGCTGATTCTATATTCCCAACTGCTATACCGACTACCATACCGAATAAACAAAGAATTGATGACACAATATTGAACAACATAGCTTCTTTAATTCGCATACCAGTTTTTAAGAGTACAGCAAAATCACCTGGATATTGTGGATGAGTTTAGTAAATTAAATAAGAAGAGGAAAATCATCATAAGGAAAAAAAATAATTATAAACGATGGAGATATTGTTGTTGTTAATAATGAAACATAGATTTCCTTTCCTGTACAAATTTAAAGCATTCAGTTGTATGTAATTGTCTTTTCCGATGTTAGTATTCCTAGTGGTACGTAAAAACTAATTGTGCTCATCAGTTAAATCGTCTAGGACTTATGAAATAGTCGTCTAGGTTATCAATGGTGATAATTATCAGATGGAAACTGTTGAATATATCATATCTTTCGACTTTTGGAGGATGAAAAAATGGAAATTATTAGAAGTTTGAAAGCTATAGATTGCCACTAAAGTTTTTTGTTGAAGAGCAGGAAAAATACGTGTTTGTGTGAAATATACCCATCAGGATATGAAAGAAGAACAAGTATTTCAGCAAAGAGTTTCTTTTCGACGATTTCATTTTCAAAGCTTCAGTTCACCTGCTCTTTTAGAGTCAAACATATAGGTCGTTCGATGTGACTATTATCCAAAAGAGTTCAAGAACACTGTCCCGCTTGGTTACAAAGAGTTAACAATCGAGCGATAAGCAGCAATATAATTGAACACATAGTGAACACGAATCACGCTATCTCAAGAACCTTCCAGTTCAAAGTCACCAATAAAGTGAAAAGAAACCTTCCAAAGGCTACATGTCTTCATATTCTCTGCGTCGCCGAAGCTCTTTCTATCCCCATGGAGAAACCTGGACTGTGTACGCAAAAGAAAGTTGTTCAGCCCCTTCTCTTTTCATGGTCTTTGATTTTAGTGTCCTCTAATCCCCCGTTTTTATTTTGATTTTTCTGTTCTGACACTATTCTCTTCTTAAGTAATTTGCTACTCATTCTTGTTACCATGCTCTGCCCGATCACAATTCAGTTCCCAATCATGCTACGAAACTTCTTGTCCAAACTTATTTTGATTAATGTTCACTATTCATCAGCTCTTGGTTGTTTTTTATTTTATTGATAGCTCATTTATGGACACTATTTGTGTTGCCATGCTTGACAAATCATTTTTAACTATCAAATCCTTACACTAGGAAAATATATAAATTTGTGAGTGTACAGCTTTGAAAATGAAATCATCGTAAAGAGACTTTCGCTGAAATACCTGTTCTTCTTTCAAATATGTGTTTAGCTACTCTAGTATTTCACTATCTGCTATCGCAATGCAAGCATTACCACTAGGCTTGGAATTCTGCGACATTTCATTATCTGTTAATAACCTCTGTATCGAAATCCAGTTTAAGGGTCTAATTGGTCAAACGAATAATCTTCTAATTTCCAACAAATGTCTAGAACAACCGAAGTTTTTCTTGTAAACATCTTTCATCCGGATACTAATGCAAAATCGAATACCAGAAGGATAATATTCGAACTGAAAGTGCTCTTCACAAAAAAGGAGTTATTAGTTCGTCCCTACAAGGGTTTCGGTATCATCCTCATGGAACGGCATACCTATGTTGATGAGATGTCTTTCATTTTACTAGACAAAAAAAATTTCTTGAAGAAAATGTCCAGAAAGATACAATTGAACAAACTGAGTAGAAGTTGACCAAAATCCCTAGAAGCATGGAAACGAGTCCATCATTGGCAGTGATCTATTCAAACATTTAAAACCTTCAGCCTCTATGGTTCGACGACTCTCTCGCATGCCGAAGGTACGCAATAAAGATATTCATTTCCATTCATTTCTAGATACAAATAATTGCCAATACTGTGCGACTGCTAAGTGGCTGACTAAATTTCTCAACCGATGAGAAGTCAGACTAGCAGATACACTTCACTTGTCGACGGAATAAGTAAACTCAGTTTATCTGGAAAACGAATGCTGTATTTGAAAGTCACTGAAGACTTCGCAAATGTTCTATTTATGGAGGCTAGTTGTTTCCTATATGAATAAATCAACACTAACTACTTAGAAGTCGGTATTCCAATTCACCATCTGAAGAAATTACTCCTATGTTCCACTTTTAATGTACAATTCAAGTTCTGTAACAAACTGTAGCAACAAAAAGAAGGAGTAGCCATGGGGTGATCACTGGGTCCTGTTTTAGCAGAATATCTCATAACTCATTTGGAAAACCCTGTACTACATCTAAGTATAAATCGGTTCCATCCATATGGAAGGTAATTCGTCCTCGACCAAGAATTCAGCCTCAAAAACGGATTATCTTATCCTACATGAAGAATGCCTCCGAAATCAAGACTAGATTATTGAAGCCCTTTGGAAGCGGTGTGTCTCACAAGCCCACAAAATCTCTTCATTTTTTGTTATTACAAGCCAAAAGATCCAACAGCAAAGGAAGGCAAATCAAACATTGTCGATAAAATAAACTGCAGAAACTGCGACAAACATTACATTGGCCAGATTGATTGCCCTCTTCCTATCCGTCTACATGGACATCAGCTAGCAGTGAAGCGTCATGAGATATCTTCGCTCTCATCAATACACACGGACAACCACGAACACGAATTTAACTGGGAAAATCTAGAAATCCTCGATAGAACATATACGAAGAATGACAGAGAAGTTTTAGAAGCTTCGCGTTCAGGTTAGTCAACAGTCAACAGACACATTGACGTTGACCCAATCTATCAAGCAATGAGAAACAACAGGACTGTCAAACTCCACATTTGCAGGACAACCAATCGAAATAAATGTGGAGACAGTGACTTGAGGTTGGTAGGAATAACCAATTACACATATGGGTATCAGGACAAGGTAGTAAGCGGTTTGTGGGGAGAAGGCTGTGGCTCACTTCTTTTTGAAGTTTGTGCTGATGATGTTGTCGAGAATGACAAAGAAAGCTTTACTATTAAGCTATCTAGCTGAGCGAACATAATAACATCCAAATTATCTTCCTGAGTTAGAAAAATTCCCTATCCAAAAGTGTTCTTGAGTGAATTACTCTACGCTTTTGAATATCTTCAGTGTGTTTTTGTTGGTTAGTTGAATATTGATAAACCTATGCTCCAGAAGTAGTCAATTAATTTGATTTATTCGACTGATTCTGGAATAGATGTTGTACGGGGTTGTGTTGAAACAGTTAAGAGGGGTACCGAAATTGGGTAAAACAACTGTCCGTTGCTTAATACCTTTAACAGTTATAGTTTGGAATGACTTTGATGTAGTACAGTCGGGAAAAAGGAATAAAGAACCATTATATGAGCTGTTACTCATAACTTGAACATTGAGTAGTTAAACTTATCAGAATAAATATAGTGTCTGTAGAGAAGGATGCTGAATCATAGACTGAGTCACATCAATAGTATTTCTAGATGAAGGAGTACTGGAGCGAAGGATTTTCAGCTGTTTGTCTAAGCTGTATTGTGAAATCTAGACTGCCTGGTTAAGGTTTTTGAGTTATTATGAATCAGTGTTTAGAAAATGTTGAAGGCATGCCTCGAAATCGGTCCCAACCAGACAGATAGACAAAATCAACGTAGAACCTCGCACACAGCTGCATTCGTTCAAGTTACCACACTTTGTAGTGGTATACATAGAACGAGTTGATAGGAAGGACTGATATTAAAGCAGCCAAAGGTTAGTGGGAGGAGAGAGAATTTAAAATTAAGATTGGCCTGAACATTCAACCTTTAAAAGACATCAAAAAGTGAATACATCTGCGTCAGTGTGGCTGATTTTTAGCTAAATCTATCATCAAGAGTCCTGTCGTCTCGAGGACCCCCAGCCAGGCACTGTTTAATACTATTCATTAAATTGTTCTCTTCTCCCACATACTTTCCTAACATAAATAATTTTTACCATCCAACTCTATGTGTAATATTGTGAACTGCTATAATTTCGAAGTTCTGCAACAGGTTCTACATTGATCTATCTTCAAAGACATTTTCTGAACCTAGGTCTAAGCTATCATAAAACTATGTGAAAATATGATTAGTGACAGTAGTAAAGCGTACATACACAGGGGGTATGCACCAAACGTTGCTAGTCGTTCCTTTTAAGAAAATCAACAGAGATGATCGAAAGTTTTAGTATTGGCCATAGTTGATGAACAGGATTGAACTAATCATTCTCCGTTGGGGTGCGAGCTGCATTCAGAACCATTACACCCCTTGGACAGGATTTGGTCATTGTAACTCAGTAGATTAGTTGATTATGCTCTTAAGTTTGAAACAATATGTACGAGGTTTAAGTCTGAAAGGGCAAACTTCAATGCTTGGATACGGCAACATTCAGCTGATAAGTTCAAGAAAGCATGAAACAAATATCTTGGATTCCCCTGAAAACCACCACTAAATATAAACTAACAGTTTACAGTTTATTGTGATATTTTTAATATATTTTGTTTGTTCGAAGGTATCAGCACTTAGATATTGTAGAAGATTCTGTCAAGCGTCCAGTAAACGTTTCATTATTTAAATGTCTGCAAATGATATGATTTTTTATGTTAAAAGCTGGCTTTACGAAGAAGTAACTTAGTTGGTGGGTGATTAAAGCCTAAGTTAGCCAATCTTTAAGAATTGACGTGGAACCGAAAATTTTCACATAATCAAAGAATTTTCAAGTGTCATATTCAAGTTAGAAAGCAACCAACAAACGCTGTGAAATTCACCTTGTTTATTGCAAACGAAAACAGAGAAAATAGACAACTACGATTCTGTTCCATAGACTAAATTATTGCTTAAAAGTAACTACTGACTCAAGTTTATCAAAACATCTTCATGAAGCTGCTTTCAGCTCTAAAATTTCTATGCATGAAACCATCTGTCTCATTGAATATCGAACCATCAAACCCACATAACTTCACATCGCAAACAGTTTTATTAATGGTGGATCGTGGCTAGCAGTGGAATCCAGGATGCGCATTTCATCCTGTTCGGGACTCATCAGCTGGATGTACCTGCCTCCCAGTAAGCGATGTTGTTCCCACCGTGACTCGGACTCGTGAGCGATCGCTTCAAACTCGAGAGCGTTACCCACTACACCACCGAGCCACTATAGCCACTTCTTATACGACGGGTATAGTTTTAATGTTATTGCTTGTGTTACACCGTCGTTGATTGGACCGGATTGATCGGTCTCCATTGGCATTCGGGCTCCTATGTGGATGCCTCGATATTGCCTGAGTTCTAACTATATTAATGGTGGATCGTGGTGTAGTGCATAATGCTCTAGTATTTGAAGCGATCGCTCTCGTGTTAGAATCACGGTGGGAACAACATCACTCATTGGGAGGCAGGTACATCCAGCTGACGAGCCCCAAACAGGATGAAGTGCGCATCCTGGATTCCACTGCTAGCCCCTGCCCATCATTACTATACATAATTAGAACGCAGGCAATATCGAGGTATCCGCACAGGAGCCCATATGCCAATAGAGACCGACCGATTCGGTTCAATCAACGACGGTGTAATACGAGCAATAACACGCAGACAGTTTTAATGTTAGATTTTGTCCCCCAGTGAATAATATAAAGTGCTTAACATCGCTGATGTCATATGATATTAAAACTAGTTAGGATCGTCTAAATTTAGATAGTGCGAAGGACTTATATGAGCTAACAGTTTTCAACGATATGTTTATAGTGAGGTAGTCAGTCTCTACAATAAAACTTCGAAATCATGTTTGCAAATTAATAGATGAATGAGCCCCCCAAAATGATGTTGTTTAAGTGATACTAGCAGAAGTTAACACCTTGACATATCATGCCAACAAGGAATATTTGAGTCCGATCCAATAATAAATACGACTACAGAGCTGAACATGTGACAGAGATAATTCAGATCTTACTGTCAGATTACTTCGAAAGCTGAAAAGGGATACAGATGCGAGTTTTAATAGGTTAATTCATCTAGCCAAGCAATGTTTCTTTTATGATAAAACAATAAAACTCGGCCCAGAGGAGCTATCGTTATTGTCATGGGCGAAAAAATGAAATTTACATGATCTTGTTCAATAATGAAGGAAAATAGTGTCAAAAGTTAGTCACATACCTAGTTCATGTGGTAGTTCATGACAGAAGACTGCAACACTTGTACTAAGACCACCTGAGATGCTTTGAGCAAATGCAGCACCTGAAAAAACAAGAATATTTCAATAATATAAGTGTAAAACTTGGGCACTGTGGTAGAATGTAATTTCATATTGGATTTGTTTGTTTGATATATAGCGCACAGTGATACAGTATTATTTACTTGATTACGTTTCGAGCATGAATTATTGCTCATAATCATATCAATGTAATCACACTTCTTTCGATATCTGATTTTATAGTCTTGTCACCTGATTTTTCTTTGTCTTTTTTATTGGTAGTAAAGTTTTCCATATCTCTGGTATAGGTGTTGTGTCATTCCTATTACGTGTGTTGGGTGTGAATTCGATGAACAAAGATTCAGTAATTAATCTCTCTCTCCACCTAGCTATATTAGACTCAAGTACAGTGGTTTTGTCACAACCTATTGTGTGGTTGTGTGTTAACGAATGTAATGTAATGGCCGAGTGTTTTTCTAGATTATTGATCCTATTGGGGTCTGTTGTTCTATGTTTAGCTAAATTCCTATGTTCTGCTAATCTAACTGACCCCGACCGGCTAGTTTGACCTATGTATTTGACCTCACAGTCATTACATGGAATTTGGTAGATTATATATATATGTATATATACTTCAAAAAACTGTTGAGAAGAGTCTAACACATAAATGTCTTTTTGCTTAGAATTTGGTCGATACTATAATGCTGAAAAAGCAGTCCAGTTTACTACTTTATGAAAACTTCTCCCTAAATCTACCCCGAGAAAGTTTGTGATTTGTTGTAATGTAATTCACTATGAATACCATCATCCCACTATTACCTTAGGTACTTTTTGTCATTGGGATTATTAATACTAATTATATCTCTCTGCTTACACTTACTAAAGATTAATCCTATTTTATTACTGTGTTCACAGAATTTCCATTCCACTGATTGTAAATCTTCAGGCACATTACAACCTAAAACATGAGAATCATGTTTTTTCTTATTGCTTATGTGCAACCGAAACTATTCACATTTGAAAGCATAAATTACATACCATTCACTCCCTTCATTGAAAGCTAGCTATCTAGCTAGCGAAGAAACCTAAACATTTTCGAATAGAATAATCTATTAACAGCTTAAAAGATACCAATCAGTCTGTGGAGGGAATAAAACAACTATATATGTGTACTGGGTAATAACTGAAGGTGAAATGAAAATTTAGACTGGATTCACACCAACGACCATCGGGTTTCCAGCCCCGTGCCCTACCAACTGGGCAACGAGGTCTGACTGCTTACCCGATTTTTGTTTCACTTCAATCACCAAGGTTTTTCCGAACTACATGTGAATTTGGGATACGTTACTACCACCTGATCGTACCCACACTGGCTGCACAGTCAGGACTTCTCATCCAAATCCAAATCTAAGTGAATTACAGTGGTAGAGCATCATATTGATTTTCTGAGATGGTCGTGGTTTGACAGACCAAATTTTCATCTCACCTTCGTTTATCAGCCAGTATAAATACTAGTCTGTTAAACCACGGCTATCTCAGATAGTTAAACTAGATATGTCTCATAAAATGTTGATTTCGTTCGCTTTACGTTCATTATTTACGGGCAATACTTCATAAAGAAACAATCGTTATCGTAAGCCAGTATTCAGATGTGATTTCTGTTCGGAAATTACAGCAAAGATAGTTTCCAAGGTAGCAGTTTGCAAACTTTCACTTTATCGGCAAATGTTGCTGTTAATTTGATGTGGCTATGAGTGGTACATAGTAATTAATCTCCATCAGTATACGTAAAACAAAACTGGTATCCGTAATGAGAAAAACCATATTCTATTGAAACTACTCACATTTCAAGTATCAACGTAAGTCATGCGATAAGTAAATCACAAGCACTTAAGAAACTACATCCGAATACACGATTCACAACAGAAGGGAAGCATGAAGGTGTTTTCCAGTTCCCGGTTAAGTGCTTAGTATGACGAATTAAAAGCATTTGTCAAAAATTATTTATCTGCACAGAAACTGAAGTATGACATACATTACGGTTCACATAGTTACTTGATTAAGTTACAAACATAGTGTGGTAAGATTAGTCTGTCGTAGGGTCATAAAAATCTGCTCTACGGATACGATAGAAGAGTACTCAATTATCAAAAAGTGTTTATTCTCAGAGAGTTATGAAGAAGTACGCTAATGAAATTCATGCTAGAGAAGAACAGAAGAGATCTGAGAAAAAATGTACTTACATTAGACTTGACTTCAAGGAAGATCAAGTCATAAACGGTGTCAATCAGAATTTGAAAGCTGCAGTCAGCAGCAAATTTCCCTCAGTTAAAAGAAACACCTAACAAAATCCTTCTTCTATGGTTTAAATAATGAAAATGTGAAGCTATTTATTTTGATTTTGTCTGAGCAAATACTATGTCGCCAATCCACAGAATCCTGACTTTTGATATATATATATATATATATATATATATATATATATATATATATATATATATATATATATATATATATATATATATACGTTACTAACCGATAGCCATTCCGTCTGTGAAGTTGTGTAAACCGTCACCCATGATAACCATCCAGGCCACAGCAGCTACAGATTCTGGAACCTAAAAAAATAAAGAAGAAAAGCTGGATTTATTACCAAGGAAAACTACTATATTTTTATAATTACTGTTGTGGACCAATTCAAGGTGAAATTGACAATCCAGAGAAAAATGTAAGTATGGGATAAACTGAGCATAAAACAGTGCGGTCTCTTGGCGGAGATGGCATAGTTTAGTTACTGTCTTTCAACTCAGCGGATCTCATTCTTTGAATTGTCAGTTTGGTATGTTACACGACCAACATACAACATCATTGGTGGTCATCCATAGAGACCGTCATTAAATAATTGAAGTGAAAACACCGACTTCAGTGGCTTGGACATGTGTTAGGCATGTCGCCTTAACGGCTTTGACACCGTTCATTGTTTGCTAACCCTGAGACTGGATGGAAGAAGCGGAGGGGTGGTCAGCGTATGAGGTGTTGACGTGGGTTGAAGGATAGTTGTATCGCGTTAGCGTCTGTTGGTGCATCGCGACTTACTGGGTGGGGTCTGAGAGATCACGCAACTCAGAGGCTCGAAACGTTATCAGATATGGACCAGAATCTAAATCAGTGGCGGTGATGCTGTAGCTTCCTTCTATCTTCTGCTGCTGCAAAGTAATGAATGTTTCGTTTTGAATGCATCTTACTGGACTGCCCTTTTAAATATTTCGTTCTTATTATGTTTTCTTTATGTTTAATATCTTTCGCTTTAAGTCTTTATAATGCTGTCACATTATTTTGTATGGCGCGTTTCTTGGTGACCTTGGTGTGCCATGTTTGTGTTCTAGCAATAATAATGTTAATAATAATAATAACTTTGGTGAGACACTACGATCAGTTCTGAGGAAATGCCAACTACACTGACTAACAATTGAGTGAGAAAATGCGTTCACATTTCAGTCAACATCACAAAAGTTTGATTCAACCAACTCAGCATTTATGATCTTAGATTGCATCTACAGTTTTTTAGATGGGACCAGCTTCTCATGTATGTTGATATTACTGTTAAGTAATCGAAAAACAAGGACACGCTGCAGAAGAAACCCGTAATAGGTTGCCGTAATACAAATTTTTAGGGGAATAGGTTAGAAATTTGAATTCCAAACAAGCCAGTAATTATAGTAAGTTAAATGTCACTGAAAAAGAAACTTATTCTTGAAAGTATTACAGGTGCAATCTCTGTTATCCTTGCGTGGATCTAGGAGTTCAAGTTACTAAGAATTACCAGTTCTAGCTACACTTCATAATTCTATATTACAAAAATGTTTGAAAACGGTTAGAACAAAACTATGAAGTCTATTAGAGGAATTGTATATTAAAAGTAGGTATAGAGAAATTAAGGATGACATGGACTTGGCGCGTTACGAAAAGTATTTCCAACAAACTACAGACATTCATCAACAACTACCTAGGCTGGCTCGATACTGACACTGAAGATCAGATGAGAAGGCCAGAAAGAATAAGCAACAAGGAACTCTGGCCTGGTAACGAACCAACCAACAACCTATTACCCAACAAATATGCAGAGGAAGAAAGTGGAGATGGATTGGATTGGGCATACACTGAGAAGGCCGATTGGGGTGATTACGCGCCAGACGAGGCCAGGCGGTCGAGTGGAATCCAAATGGGAAACGATGAGTTGGGTGTTTAAGGCGAGGGTGACATGGAGGAGATTGTGTGAGGAAGAAATGAAAGCCTATGGGCAGTCGTGAAGCCAGGTTTCGGAGACCACAAAGAAGAGAGTGAAGTGAAGACCCAAGGGACAAATAATAATAAATTTATTTTATCCTAGAATGCCTGAATCCCACTGTATAACAATTCAAAATATACTGTTTCAATACTGTTTGGTATCAGTTATATGTACCAAACAGTTCTATTATAACGGCAAGATTTGAGAATGCTATATTTAACGATGATTTAAATTTATTTGAAAAATCGGTGAAGAATGTTTCTGAAATTCATTTAAATTCGATGAATACTGTTCCTGTGCTTGTAGAGTTAACGAAACCATGAATCTAAAGATTTCAAAAAGTACGCGATACACCCACGGCTTGGCAGCCACGAAGAATAATCATTTTGAAAGAGAGGCAAACCAAAAGAGTAGGTGGTCGAATGTATAAGAGTAAACCAGTGAAGAATGGTTCACAATTTCATTTTAAATCTCGGAGAATAAATCAATCAGCCAATCCAAACACTTCATGCAACCTTATGATAACAAGTTCATAAATAAACTTATTTACACTTAGGCAGCCATAGTAGTTTGCATAAATCGTTTTCTCGACAGCGTGCTTGAATCTTGAGAAGTCAAAACTTCCCATTGAACAAATTTTTTCCTTTCAGTTTGTTTTAATCATTCAAATATTTCCTCTGAACGTATCATGTACTCTTGCACATTTTAAAATGCTTTCAACTCGCCGTTTCTCGAGTTAATAGCAAAATAGAGAAAAAATGTCACTTTTTATTGAAGTGAAGTTTGTAGTGAGCAATGTGTATATTTTTATCCCTCGTATACTTAGAGTTGCAGACTCTTATAGTGGCTGAATGAACCGTCACCGCCAAACTTACGCTCTCCTTTTCATTTTATTATTCATTCTAGACCGGATGCCAATCCAAAACCAGTTGGCTGTTTCACGTTATTCCCTTGAATACTGTTATTATCAACGTCATTCAGATGCCATAAGCATTTTGTGTGAAAATATTGTTCTGAGAGTGACTTTGTTGAAAAATTCCATACTGAGAATCCCATACTGTATCATATATATTGTTTGGAATAACGCGATTACTATTATTGTTATCATCTAACAAAAGTAGTGTGGAAAGAGAATAATCAATGAAATTCCTATGATTTAACTATGAAATGCATACAAGTTCTGAGTATAAAGTTTATGTAGTTAACAGGTAAGAGTGGTTAAGCTTACTAGCTAACCATTTCCAATATTCCCAAAAGACAATTTATATGGTCCTTTAATGCTCACACGTATATAACATTTCAACTTCTGGAGTAGGAACCAACATCCTATTACCAGTCAGCTATCATTGTAGTGCCAACTGAATGATATAAAATATTTATCTAGCTTTGTTTGTCCTAGTAAACCACATCGGGATCACAGAAAGAAAATACATTTAATGCAATGCATCATATCAGTGCCAAGGCTTTTAGATGCAATTCAGTGTATTGTTAGCCGATTTACGTACAAACATAAACCAGCTGATTTGACTTCAGATAAGATTAGACTCGTTGGCAGGTACGACAGCAACCAGAACAATTAACCGTTGTTCATCGGGTCATATAACTCACCTGTTTTAGTTATAACTACCAGAATTAGTACAATATAGCAGAAATAGAAGTGGTAGTAGTAGTAGTATCAGCAGTAAGTTCAATACAACTGGGTGATAATTCAAAGCCACTATGATGTTTCCTGTTATAAAGAAGAGGCGAGAAACTTCACGGGGGATCCTTTAGAGTTCTGGGATTTAGGAAGTATTCAAGCCTACAAAGTTAGAGGATAGCTTCATAATGAACGAAAGCATTCTCTAAGCCCAGTTCACAAATGCCTTTCAAAGATTAGACAGTCAAGCAGACAGGTCAAGGTAACCTTTCACGGTCAACAAAGATATCACAGAACAAGAATTTTGTGGAATATAGTACGGCAGACCATACTAAAACAAACTACCAGGAGAATAGTTCAAATTTTGTTGCGTACACACTGATGCATGGTCACATGATAAGGTAGGACATGGCAGCAATTCTTAAATGGTATATAGCCAAACAAAAATGAGATATTGATTACCGAATTCTTTTACACCTAATCAGTAGATATTTAGAAAACTATACAATCAGCAACAATAAAGACTAATTTGCTTTTGGACTATTTTGATGGCGTTGTGTTTTTTTACCTGAATGGCCTAATATAGAAGGATTCACTGTCATTCTGCACAACACCGTAAGCAAAAACTTCAAAAAGAAGTGAGCCACAGCCTTCTCCCCACAAACCGCTTACTACCTTGTCCTGATACCCATATGTGTAATTGGTTATTCCTACCAACCTCAAGTCACTGTCTCCACATTTATTTCGATTGGTTGTCCTGCAAATGTGGAGTTTGACAGTCCTGTTGTTTCTCATTGCTTGATAGATTGGGTCAACGTCAATGTGTCTGTTGACTGTTGACTAACCTGAACGCGAAGCTTCTAAAACTTCTCTGTCATTCTTCGTATATGTTCTATCGAGGATTTCTAGATTTTCCCAGTTAAATTCGTGTTCGTGGTTGTCCGTGTGTATTGATGAGAGCGAAGATATCTCATGACGCTTTTAGACTATGAAAAAGGTTGAAAGTTGTGTAATTACCTCAATATATTTCCAGAAAATAAATTTTTTTAGTTACAGCATCCATTAAAAAAATACTGCATCGCTGTGACCTACTCCAAATGGAGTAATATATTATGAAATTGTATACTTCCATAGGGTAAAAATTCAACTCTTACATATTTATACACTGAATTTTACATGCCTATTTAGTTTCATGCAACACAAAATGATAAAGAACGACTTCTCACCTCATGTGAGTGACCATGACCATGACTATGTCCTCGATCGTGAGATTTTTCTTCTTCGTTATGCTGATCAGATAAATCGGTTGGCAACTGGATGAATGAAAGGTAAAATCATACACATTACTCCTCTTCCAGTTAGTTATGATTTTAAAAACAATAGAAAAAGTTGTTCATGAAGCTTTGTAGTTTCATTTGTATACACAACAGTTAAGCATAATTAATGGATTAATGCTCATGTGTTCTGGAGTTATGTATTACATAGCTATTAAAATAATCTAAGATAGATCGGGTGAAAATTAAACATGAGATACAATAATATATCAAAACGTCTAGACTGAACAAAATCAGTCAAAAATATCAAAATATAAACTGTTAAGTTGCTACTGAGACAATGTTAAAGCCATTAGGTAAATGTGTGTCGCACACAAATATCAAGTTAACTGAATGGCTAGTGTTTATGAGATACAGACATAACTTGAACTATTTCATTTAGATCGACATAGAGAGATTCTTTAATAAGAACTTTGATGAAAGTTCTCTTTATGGACTAATATGACATGCAGGATTGCGGAAAAACAGGGGAGACTGCACAGCTAGTTGTCGTTAGTTTGAGGATCTCTGCATCTTGAAGCGGGTAGGTTGTTTTAAAACCAATCATTTGACATCTAATGTTCGGCATTTCATATCTGCAGTCACTTCAAAATATTTTGCAAACACTACTCTTTGACACCAATGTATATTCTTCTTCCTATCGGGTTTTCTTAACTTTGGAACGATATGGAAGGTGTAACTTACTGAGAAACCTGGAGGTAGGACAGGGCATTTGTTCCACCTGTTCTTAGACAGGTGGAACAGAACTTCGGTGGAATAGTACAACTATTTCGTTAATATTAACGAGTTATTGGTGCTGCTTGACAACAATAACTAAGATTTGAAAGTTTGAAGTTATTCAGACATGTCAAAGTCCTGAGTCATGGTATGCTAGTGTTCATCCTAAAACTTGATTTCGACGTTCGTCATCTCAATTATCACAATATTATCCACTAAACAACAGAGTGCAGTCAGTTTCGGTCGTCATTACAAATTCATATCATCAATCGGTATATATTGAACTTGGTTCATAGGTCCTATATGACACAATGCTTCCTTATTAAAATGATTCGAAACTATAAGCAGGTAAATCTAACTGTTGACTTCTGAGTAGGATAAAATGCTCATCCAAGGGTTTATTATTTTGTTCTAAAGAACGCCATTAAGGTTAAATGCATAAAAATGAATAGGTTCACCTGTTTTTCAACTTTTGTTACTGTTGATTCTGGTTGTTTTTCCTCGTCTTCTTCAATTGTGATTTTTGGGACATTCACTGTAGAGTTCACCTGTTTCGCTTGTAGTTGGTGATGCTGTTTATCTTTATTCGAATAATCTGTTTCATCATTGATTTGCTCGGATTTCATTCTTCGATTGGTTATTTGTAGTTCATCTTTCAGTAGTGGTTGTTCTACACTAATATCTTGTGAAGCTTTTCTTGCAAGCTCATCATATTCTTCTGCATAACTATAAAGTATATCGATTGACTTCATTGCTGTCAAAATATTCACAAGGAGAAAATTTCTACAACTATAATTGTAATAAAATGGATTTATCTGTGTGAAGTTGAAAGCAAAAGAATAGTGATTGTTTGCTGTCCTCAGCTTGGGTCACAAATTGTCTTCATTATATCAGAATCTTTGATGAGTAAAAAAACTGGCGTCAGTCAGTTCAGAAACGACAAAACTTCATTAGTGTGTGAATATTACATCAAACACAGTTTTTTTCTCTTTACGAGCATATATACAGCAGAATATTTTAGCATAGAGTTATAGACATGAATCGCCTACCAATTGTCTAAATGGATGGAAGACTGTACAACAAAGCGGGAAGAAGACCGTGTGACTAGTGATCTGAACTGGATACAACAGACAACCAAATATAAAAGTGTAATTACAACTCAACAAATTTTGTGAGCAAAGGTTATTCTTTCCAATAACTTGCTCCTCAGATTTTTGTGGTTATATATACATGCAGGTTAGTCAAAGAATATATGTATATCATAATAGGAATTCTTAATGAGCTCAAGAAAAAACGTATTATCGTTTGAGCAGAAGCGATAAGTAAGTAAACAACACACATCCATAATACTTAGCTGGATAGAAAAGAAATAAAAAAGGGGATTTCTGTGAGGAGTCTTTCAAAATGACCACTGTTTATTACAGTTTACAATCTGCTTCAGAAAGAACTGAACTGCAGATCTTTGCATAGTTTTGCAGCCTTCAATGAAAACCATGTGATTAAACATTGAGTGGTATTGAAAGTTGTGTAGATCACCTATACCTTTGACGTAAATCAAAGGGGACTAAAGTCTTTTCAGCATAGAAAAGAAGTCGTTAATGACTGAATAAATGATTGTGATGTCACTATCTGATAAAGGGGAAAAAACTATAACCAGACAATAAAAAATTTATGGCACGCCTTCAAATATCATATTCCAGAGGACATTAGACCATTTTCTTGTTCTCTTACTGAACAATAAATCTCTACTATCTAAAAATGCCATAGTCTGCCCACTAATATCCTTCCAAGTACTATGTAGCTGTAAACATAAGCCGTTAAACATTCACTGTACATCTTTATTCCTTAAAAATTTGTGTTTCTGTAATTAACAAGATTGTGGGAACGATTCTTTCATTCAAAAATCAGATCGACCTCATCTCAATCCGAAGAAATTGGAGACTCAGACCACTGGACACAAGATCAAGAAGAGGAGCAGATGTAGGTTTACACCACTTACTGTTTACTGCAAGCAACCTACCTCCAAAATCAAGTTGAAAGCCTTCAAAGAAGCTGATGATGATAGACTACAGTTCAAGTTTAACACCCAGAACAGAAACTGAAGCACGAAACTACAAAGGATATCTCCACGTCAGTAAGTCATCAGGACAAAATGGAAGACATTGAGCAACATCCCTGAAGGAACCTGAGTGGAAAAACACTGAAACTCTTTGAAAGAGATGTGGAGAGAAACCTGCATAACCATGTTAGGAGGAAAGAAGAAACAAGACAAGAATGGAACTCCACAGATACATGGAAGCTGAAAGAGCAGGGAGAAGAAGATGGTGAAGCAGAAGATAAACCAGTGCGGTGCAAGGATGAACAACGAAACGAGGAACTGAACACAACATAAAAAACACTACACTGGACAAAGAAGTGAAGACCAGTGAGCAAAAAGACAAAAAACACTTACTTCCACGACATACTATCAAGTGAAGCAGGACGGGCTGCAGGTAAGAGTGATAGAGACCTAACAACACTATGTCAAATAAACATGTTACTATCTGGGAAGAGATTAACCCAGACGAAACCAATGAAGCACAGTGAAGGAAATCTATTTACCAAGGAGGAGAATCAAAGGAAACGATGGGCTAACCACTTCAAAAAACTCTGGAATCGGTCACCACCATCACCACCACCTCCTGCAACTCTTCCAGAAGTACCACCAGCAACGGAAGAATTACCAGTGAACACAAGGCCTCTAGCAAAGGCAGAAGTAAAGTCCTGAACGCCATAAAGTTGCTGAAATCCTGGAGGGCAGCAGGACCAAATGGAATTCCACCAGAAGCACTGAAAACAGACGCAGAGACAACAGTGAACACGCTCACACCACTATAGCAGAAGGTGTTGAAGGAAGGAAAGGTACTTACCGATTGATTGGAAGAAGGGCTACCATGTCAAACTCCCAAACAAGGGAGACCTAAGCTTTCCCAAGAGCTGGTGAGGAACCGTTCTGCTGTCCACCCCAAGCGAAATATTGTGCCAAATCATCCTGGAGAGACTAAAGGATGCACTGGATTCAAAGTTACGACCGGAACAGGCTGGCTGGCTTCAGGAAGAACAAATCATGTGCAGACCAAGTTGCAACGCTACACCACTACACATCATCATAGAACAGAGCATATAATAGCAATCAACTCTCTGTTTCAACTTCATCGAAATTGAAAAAGCCTTCGATCGAGGCATCGAACGAGAAGTAATTTGGCAACTGCTTCAGCACTACAGAGTACCACAAATCTTTATTAACCTCATTCAACAACTATATGAAGACGCCACATGCCAAGTTGTTCACAATGGAAAGCTCAGTGATGCCTTTGAAGTGAAGACACGATTAAGACAATGTTGCCTACTATCACTGATGATCTTCCTGATTGTGGTGGACTGGACTGGACTGTATCATGGAACAGCCAGCTGTGAGAAGGAAGATGATGGGCATAAGCTGGGTGGATCGATGAAAAGACCAGGTAAGAAGATTTGGATTTCGCCGATCATGATTTATATCTAATGTCTTGTGGCACAAACTCGGAAATCTAGAGGCAAAATCAACAAGTTGGCTAAAGAGGCAGCGAAGGAAGACGGGACTTCAAGTGAATGTAGAGAAGACAGAGGTGATGAAGATACCCAATCAACAACAACAACAAACACCAATCACCATCAACGGAAGAAACCTAAAGGAAATAGTCTCTTTTATCTAACAACTAGGCAGCATCGTCTCAACTACCGGTGGCGACGGTGCAGATGAGGATGTCAAAACCGGGGTCGGAAAGACAGCAAGACAGACTTTCATTAACCCGAAATCAGCGTGGAGATCTACTGCACTCAGCATAAAGCATGAACAAGATCCGAATTTTGAACACCAAGTCAGTCAAGTCAGTACTGTTATGTGATAGTTGAGAGACTTGGCGCGTTACGAAAATTATTTCCAACAAACTACAGACATTCATCAACAGCTACCTAGGCTGGCTCGATACTGACACTGAAGATCAGATGAGAAGGCCAGAAAGAATAAGCAACAAGGAACTCTGGCCTGGTAACGAACCAACCAACAACCTATCACCCAACAAATATGCAGAGGAAGAAAGTGGAGATGGATTGGAATGGGCATACACTGAGAAGGCCGATTGGGGTGATTACGCGCCAGGCCAGACCGGGCCAGGCCAGGCCAGGCGGTCGAGTGGAATCCAAATGGGAAACGATGAGTTGGATGTTTTAAGCGAGAATGACATGGAGGATATTGTGTGAGGAAGTCGTGGAGCCAGGTTCAAGAGACTGTAGAGAAGAGAGTGCAATGGAGACGTGCTACTGAAGCCGTATATTCAACTAGGAATCCAAGGGACAAATAATAATAATAAATTCTTTTATCTATGGTAATTTTACTTGGTCTCAAATTGGACGAAACGTGCGTCCTGGATTTTTTCGTTAGCCACAAGCAAGCATATTTACCATAGTTAACATTCAGGCAATACCGAAGCATCCACATGGGAGCCCATTTGTTAATAGATGGCGAACAATCCAATCCATTTAATACAGCGCAGAATTACAAGTATAACAATAAATAACAATGATTCTTTCATCTTTATAATTTGTATTTCAGAACAAACAATTCTAACAGAATGATAATTTCCTAGGATATTTAGCATATCTCAGTAGCTCATACATCTGAAGGCATGATTAGTACATCTAATCTGTAGGAAGCGTGTATATAAAGGGGAAGTCCGTCTATATATATATATATATATATATATATATATATATATATATATATATATATATATATCTGTGAAATGAATTTACCGATATCATCATTTACCGATCATCAACTTAGTGTTTATGTGATAAAATATCGATTCATTAATAGTGCAGTTTCTTGATCAAATATTAGATTCAGTGAGATAACGAATAAATCTAGTTAGTCTAGTATCGAGTTATGTTGTAATCTTCATGCAGAAATATGTAAAAAATAATATTCCATACGGTCTCATGATTCATATGCTTTCACGTACACATAAACAGTAAGGGTAGAGAAAGAAAGATTTAGTGGATTCGTGATTTTCCCTCGAAATCCTCAGCTAAATACTTTACATGTTTCTGTATATATACTATACTGCATTGTAGAAATAAAAATCATCTTACAAGCTAAGAAGTTGAACACAGCGTAAGTTTCTATTCCAACAAGGAAGCATGTAAATCTCATAAGTGGAGTGTAACTCAACTGTTTGATAGAGGCTTTGTGGACTGGTTCGTGAACTACATGCATTCTCTGACGGTCTCTGAAGTAACTTGATTGCTCATGTCAAAGTCAGTGGATCACGATTTGAACCATGAGACTATCAGGTTAAAGTCAGTTGCTTGGGCCATTCAAATACATCACAGTATAAGAAGTATGTTTCAAACTTGCTTGAACATCTATGAATTGTTCCTACACTATACATGTAAAATAACTATTCAGTGAACAGAAAAACCGCAATTGGTTTGGATCAAATAAATGGTCATTTCTTTGTACAAATATGTGCATTGACAGAGGATTTCGTTTTGATGGTTATATCATTTTAATCGGAATAAGTTCTTTTCTACTTTGATTTTGGGTGATGATTAAAAGTTAAATGAAAATTTGAACCACGGTGAGATTCGAATTAATGACCACTAGGTTTCCTGCCCCGTGCTCTACCAACTGAGTTAGGAAGTCCTACTGCTGACCAAATTTTTATTTCTGTTGTTTTGCTACTTTTCCCGATTAGAATCAAAATCATATAGACTTTTCGGGTTTCATTTATTTCAACAGTAAAATAGTGATATGAACTGTAATGTATATGACTGTATAAGCTGTTTAAATATTTCTGAAGTACTGGTAAAGTTGTTCTTAGAAAAGTCATAAAAAAAATGAAAATTAATGCTCTTACAATGATTCATCGTCGTAAAAGCATGACGGCGCTTTTTCGATATCCTGTATATTACCATGTGAGTGTAATGTGGCACGCCAGATTAAAAAATCAATTAAAATTAAGCTTCAAATTAATTTAAAACAAGAAACAAATGTAGAAAAAGCAGAATTTAAGGAATTTATGAGTTTCAGTAGTACTCGTCAGCTGAATACTTTTTATACTTGATTGTATATACCTTTAAAAAATGCAAAAGAACATATATGCATGCATATATAACATAGACTGAGACAACCAGGCCTCTGCATTCAGAATGAAATGGTAGTCAGTTTGAAGCTGACATGGTAGGAATTACAGCACCGTCTAATCATGTTCAATCTTTCTTATTTGCTCTTCGCTCTTAATTATCATATTTTGTTTTCCTTCCTTGATTTATTTGGCCTAATTAACCTTATTCCTGTTACGATTATTATCACTATTAATCATCTCAATGTACACCTGGATTTCTTATTATGTCTGCATAAGTACTATCAAGTATCTTGTTTTGGATGACATATTCTACACTTAATCTATTCAGTTCTCATCCCTATGTCAACATTATTATTGTTATTAGTCTAGTATGTAGGAGCCCATATGCCAACACAGATCGAACAGTTTTATCCAGTCAAACAGCGCAGAATTACAAGCATATCAGTAAATAGTAATGACTAATACCTATTGTACAAGAAGTGCCTATCATGCCTCAGAACACCTTAGCGTTTGAAGCGATGGGTACGAGGTTCAGGTCTTAGTGGTAACAACATCACTCACTAGGTACATGTACACTTAGGTGACGAGTCCCAAACAAGACTAAAAGCGCTCAAATTATTATTTTTATAATCATTTGCTACCTGAAATCTACCATTGTCCGAACTCATAGTTTATCACGTAACCTATCCTCAACCCAATCAAATCTGAATATCCAATTCTACCCCTTGCATTATAACTTGAACTGTAAAAGCTGTTTATATTTATGTTGTTACACCTGAATCTGTCTCAGTCTACGTTACATGTGTATGCATGCATGTTCTTTTGCATTGGTTAAAGGTATATACGATGAAGTATGTAGAGTATCCAACTGACGAGTACTACTGGAATTTATGAATTCATTAAATCCTGATTTTTCATATTCGTTGCTTATTTTAAATTTGTGTCGGGAAACAAACGTTTTTAAAATTAATCATTTCTCAGATTGTTTGAAAGGAATAATAACTACTAATGTCAGTCACGCTGCACATAGCTTACATCGTAACATGCTGGATATTGGCATGTGTATAGCATAGTCTTATGATTGTTTAGGAGAAATAGAGGCCTCCTAGCTTGATGGTTACGCTGCGAATATGATCGATAGGATTCGGTCTGCACTTAGAACAAGACGATACGAGATTGGTTGCTCCCCGGTGACCAATCAGTGTATGTAACCCAGACCTACAAGAGGCCAATCTCGACCCAAATTGCTCAGTGGTAACGCTGCTGACTGCAACACTGGGTAACGTGGGTTCGAATCTCAGGCAAGACATTAGTCTTGTCGAGGTTGCGGATACGCCTTGCTGATGAGTACCAAGAAGCACGAAACCTAGGTCCAGGACTTCCTGCCGATTGCCTCCAATCAACTAATATCGATTAATATGCACCATGATGCTAAGCCTCCTAGCTTGATGGCCGCGTTGTAAATATGATCAATAGGATTCGGTCTGCACTCAGGACTAGAAAACATGGAATTGGTTGCTCTCTCATTACCAATCAATATAAAGGTTAACTTCATTTCTGATAGGGATTACAAAGTGAGAACTAATTTTTGTTAAATACCGAAAAAGGATTCATGAAATCAGTGACTTGAGCAACTTTACTAAACTATCTTTGTTCGATCAAAATGTTTCCAAAACTACATTAAAAAGGAAAGTATTTTGGTTGTCAATTTGATCATTTAATGCTTTTTTCCTCTCTAGATTCACAGATTTTAGTGAAGATAAGAATAAAATATATTGTTTCAAAATCTCTCTGTTTTACTCAAAAAGGAAGCTGAAGTATCCAGTCCACTGAAAACCTCAAGCATCAGTATGAATCATTCAGTCCTATTTCCTAATCTCTAAACACTTAGAACTGAAATTAATACTTACAGTCAACTTAAATGTTATATCTTACCTTTACTGCTTAGTCCTGTAACAAGTATATCTTCGTTTGCCATAGACATAGCACGTGATGCTCTCCTACACATGTTTGGATCAAACTGTGAAAAACGTCTTGCTTGTCCGGGTACCGACAGATGTCCACCGGGCACTAAAGATGTTCTTATTGAGCTGAGACGTCGAGTTCCTGGCGCTACAGGTAGGTTCTGTAAGGCTCTTTCACGATCTTCCTGAGTTTAGAATGAATAGATAAATTCTGTATTAATGGAATAGAATAGGTTTATCATACATTTCTTTCCATTGAATGAACCTCTGGTTATTTATTGGAGTCAATAAATATTTTGTAAACAGAGCTCAATCAGGGAAAAAATATGAATACGTAGGTGCTTATTAAACGTACTAGTTCTTTCAAAGGCATAATTGACTGTAAATATGTACATTGACAGGACATTTTCAGCCAAAAAGTTTTGTCTTTTGAAGCTGAAGATATCTTTACCTATCTATCTACTGCCTTCCAACTCTGCTTAAGTTTTCCTGCCTCAGTTCATCATGAAACAATAGTCAGACCTAGTGGTAATACTATAGTTTCCAAGTTCAAAGGCATCAGTCATCTCAAAGACTGCAGAGAAGAGAGTGAAATGGCGACGTGCCACTGAAGTAAACATAAATATATATAAGTTTGCTGAAAAATTTACATGATGATAGAGTACTATTTCAAACAATTTGCGGTTCATAGTAATGTCCATAGCCTTAATATTCCATCTAAAAAGTCCTTTTTCCTCTCCTTCCCTTGTGGTTAGATAGAAGAACTTCTTGGGTATTTTGAAGGCACATGAGGCGATCAAAACAAAGAAAACATTTTTATTTCGATGAAATATTTTTTGCTGTATATTAGTGAATATTTAGTAAAAAGGATAGATCATTCCAGATTAACTTCTGATCAAAGGTTAACATTCGTTGCATCACAAAGGAAAGTTGCATAATGAGGAAGTAAGCAGAAGGGCTACGAAATAAAAATAGTTACATAATGTGTGAGTTGTCTAGAGTAATCGATACCCTATGATGGTTATGGTGAAGAAGAGGTTTCATTTACTTCTTTTGGATGTGTAATCATGGCTTGGACTTTTGAATCATTGATGCTTCAGCTATACCTAAATGTTTTAGCTTCACTCCCTTTGGGTGGTCTGGTTACACTTTGTACAGAATTTCAAAGGATTTGCGAAAAGATGCCAAATGTCTTGAGTTTACTAAATGTCCTGTTACAGAGTTGGGTGTATATAAGCCAAGTTGGATAGTGTCTGAAAACGTGTTGTGTAAACTGGTTCATGATGAAGTCGATTTACTCAGCTTCATAGGAGCAATTAAAATGATATACGCACACACTGATGCAACCCAATGCTTTAGGTACCGACGGATATCTTTCTGACAGCAGACTTTGATTCTACTATTGTCGGCAAAGAATGTTTCGTTTACGGACGTTGATAGTCTTTTTCTAGGTATATCTACATAATTATCTCCCTTGAATTAGTAGTTTGACCGTAAAATATTTTGCGGAGCAGTATCAAGCTTTCCGTGGTATCTTTTGGCTTTAGGTTCTCATTTATAAATTTCAGTGGGTATTTACTTTCATCAGGATTTCTAGCACGTTTTCTGGTTTACCTTCGATGGCATTCTTCATGTATATTCTTTTTGTTTTGAGGAGAGCGATTTGATAAAACTCCTCTTTCTGCTCATAGCTTGGAAAATTAATAGGCTATCCTTTCCTACTGGACTTTCTGTAAATAGATCTCTGGACTGAATTGTCATCTTTCTTTGGAGTCGAAAATCACGAAAGTAGGATTCCGAGTTTGATTCTGCTTTTAGAGCGAATTTGATAAAGGGATGAGTACTGTCTAAGGCTTCAAGTAAGTTTTCGAGATTCATAATCTCATCACATATAATAAAGATATCATTTGAGCATCTATTTAGAAATAAGGCTCGCTGATTACTTTCGATAGTGTCGTGTTTTCCAGACTTGCCATAAGCAGCCATATAGAATGGGTCCTAGAGTGGATCTCATTGCCACGCTGTCCATCTGTCTGCAGACTTCGTTGTTAAATCTGAAGGGTACGTTGAGATTTCATCTGAGAAGTTGCTTTAAATAATGATTTAGGATACCACTGCTTAATGTATGGGACTGAATGAAGCTACACAGAAAACAAATGGCTTCCGTTAGTAAAACATTTGTAAGTAGGGAGATGATATCCAAAGAAATCATTCCCTTTCCTAACAGATTTACATTCTTGATTAATAATGAGCACTGGACACAAACCCTAGATTCTTGATTAAATTACCAAAGTGAGATGTGTCACACGGACCATGTTTGAAAATTTCCTACTTCACTGGATCCAGTGTAGTGATGAGCTGTTTTTCAACTGGATAGTGAGGAGAATCGGTCATGTCTAGTATCGGACGAAGGGGAATATCTTTTCTGTGCACTTTGAGTAGACCATATGGTCAAAGCAACGAGGAACCCGATGTACAAAGTTGTTCGTAGAGTTCAGTGCTAATAATGCTTCATTTTTCATCTTCTTCAACGTCTTGAACAACTATTGCTCTGTTTCATAGGTAAGGTCTTTCTTAACTGTCCGTTTTGAAAATTTTCCCTACCTGATGCAATGATTAAAAGCTTATCTATGTAGTCAGATTTACTTAGAAGCTTTATTTCAGCACCTTTGTCAGGACGTATCATGGCTGCTGTTATCTTTCTGAAGATCCCTTAACTGATTCCGATGTTTCCTTAATAGAATGTGTTGAATGCTGGATTTCCTATTTATTTATTTTACATAGAAATTTAGAAAAGTTTATTTAAAATGGTCAGGGTCATTAGAAATCAGAACTAGGTCTTTCGTTTTGTCGATCGAATTCTCGAACTGTACTTTTCGGTGAACTAATCAACTCTGGAAGTTGTTTCTCAGAATTTCGGGTTGAGAGATAAGACCTGTATTACTCTGGAATGTTCTACCCATTTTAATATACATACAGCGAAGAAAATGATTTTGTCGAAAACAGCCGTCTCGTGTGCTTTTTTATGATCAAATGGGATTGTTTTGGTGTCTGGTAAAGGTGATGAGTCACTCTTGTGCTGCATATGATTGATTTTAATTCGATAGACAAGGCTTCAGTCATCAATCCCTTCCTCTATCTTGCTAAACTAGTTTTTATGACTGTCACTTTGTCCTACTTCAATGTCTTATTATTCATGATTACATATATCACTATATTTTAGCTTTTCTTTAACTTTTCTATTTTAATGGTGTTTGGCCAAGCTTTAGTATTATTTTAGTTTAACTGATGACATCCGACTTTTTTTAAGTTTGGTATTTGACCGTTTATTCATTGTATGAAATTCGATAGATCAAATATAGAAGTAAAACTTCGGCACAGTCTAACTTCATATCTCATCGTTTATTTCACATAGCAAAAACAGCAATATTGGATAAAGTTTTGAGCATGATCTATTGCTTGTAATCACATCAAAGTTACCAAAAACTTTCAGATGGTTATTTTACTATAGGATCCTTCAACTAATGCAACCCATTTCTTACTCACGTTTTAGGTCTAAGCACCAACCGTAATTCAAGCCCTGTTGTGAATTCAGTGCGAACTTTATGAAGCCCTTGTGCTTCTGTATTGTTACGTTGTAGATGTTTTCAATTTCTGTTTCTTATCTTTACTTCTTACTGTTAACTGCGTTCATGTCGGTGATCTTTTTGTCATAGTTTCCTATGCATATATAGATTAATTTATGAGGATAATTATTCAGTACTAAGGTTTCTTCCTAATGTTTTATTTTTCAATATAATTTATTTTCATCTGGTTGGGAAGATCCCCACCCCCCCCCCTATTATTTAAACACCAACAAAACCCACTTCTGCTGAAATTAAATGAGATAGCTGACAGTTCAAGTGCCCATTCGAATGTGTAGATATTTTATCGCCACTAGTGTCTAAGCAGCTATCTTGCGCCCAATGTATTCTGCAGTTTAAAATAGATCACTTTCCTTTATCACTGTCTGACTTTTAAACAAATTGGATTGCATCTGCAACCAAACTTTTGTGTGCGCATGTAAAAATTCTGTCGGTATGTTTTGAGTTTGACAAAACAATTATGCTATCAATATATATCTCCAACACATTTTCGAGACACGAGTAACTTTCCCAAGAGTTACCCGTTCCTAAATGTTCTACAGTATATCTGTCACTGTTAGACATATTTGCTGTCGCATTCCAAACTCTTCTGCTTTTCGGTGTACCATTCTTAGGAACTTGAAGACTGTATAAGTCAGACGTAATTGTCCTCCGGAAAGACTTCTTCATCTTTACCGTGACTCTTTAGCTGAGTTACTTCTCAAGTACGTTCATAGTCATATTAATTTTTACTATAAAGGCAGGAGAAGAAATAAAACTAATACTAGTGAGCATGAAAATTATGGAGTCACTTCTGATATGATTGTGAACAGTAAGTTGTTACAAAATGACTTCTACTATGTAAAACCAAAATACAATGCACCGCAGTATTGTGTTAGTTCGTTGAGTAGCCACATCACAAAACTTGACCGATAGACTTCCATCAGTACTTAACAGTAAGGACTAGATAGCTACATCTCATGCCGACTGTTGATGAATTCGTGTACATGATCTAGTCTTTCAGAGGGTCAGTCGTAGTTTGAATTCCTTAGTAGTTAAATCTACTAAAACAGCACTGAGTGACGTAGGCTCAAGTCACCTAGTGGAGACCATCCCATCCTTATCTGTGAGTAATGAAATCAAAGAAAATTAGAAAACTGTCTAACTTATCAGTGCTAATACCAACAAGCGTTTGAATCTATGACAAAAAGTCTTCACTTCACTGATATTTCCCTAAGATAACCAAAGATACGTTGCAATTTTGGAGAGTTTTGTAAAAGACACTAAACTAGTGAAAAGTTAAATATCTGTCTAATAAAATTAAGAAGGAAATGCTTTTGTATACTACAGTCGCCACTTTTATATAGCTTCAGTCGCCAGTTTTTATGTAGCTTTAATTGACACTTTTTTTGTATATCTTTACAGTGACTTGATAGAGCTGGAATTATGTAAATGTGGGCACACGTGCACATACCTTCAGATTCCACCCTTATTGGTCATTTAGTTCTTCTATAATGCAGCAGACGGTAATAGAACAGAAAATCTATTTACAACGTCAAAGGCAACGACAACAATGTTTACAAAGTACAAGACATATATTGCAATAACCTAGGCTCTTTACAGGCCTACTAGATTTGAATTCTATGAATTTTTCATCACTTCGACCGACCTAATGCTTACTCCTTGGTTAACATGTTTTTTTCCAAAACTTAACAGCAAAGCGATTGATTGAAAAAGGCTTTAAGCAACTGAGGTTTACTAAAAAGATTTTGGCAATGTTTCAGCACACTATAACAAATGCATCTTTTGCTTCAGAAGAACCTCTGAGATTAAAAAAGGAGTAATGACTGCTTATGAGTGTTCTAGACATCTGATTTGTGGAAGGATTCGAGTTATAACGTCTACATTGTCGATCATTTTTCAAGATTTATAGTTAATTCTTATTGCATGAAGCTGGTTTGAGGTTTCATATCTGGAACCAGTAGAATAGTGCACGAGAATGTTCTATCAAATGGTAGTCAGTACCATTTTCAAGTACTTAACAAGGTCAATTTAGTCGCTGGTTAGATATTACAGATTATTTACAACTATTTTTTATTACCAATTTGCGGTTTTAATTTACTTCAGAGTGCATAACTTCTAACTGTTAGGCTAATATTTTTTCAAGTAGGCTTATTCTGCCATAGAATAATGATATTTTTCATATATGGTAACAAACATTTTAGGGTAATTATCCAGATTTAACAATTGATTCGTTAATCAGAGCAGGAAATTTCTAAAACAGGGTCATTGATCATGGTTATGTAAGTATCATGAGACAAATATTCGAAATCAAATTGAAGCTCACCTTTTCAAGTTTCTTCTCGGCCCGATAATCAGAAGTTAAACCCAAAATCTTCTCTGCCATAAAAAAGAAATAAACACCACCTAAGGCCACTAGACCCTTCATGATAGCTGTACGTTCAGTGTCTCCTCCATCGGATAATTCAGATTCATGAGTATGACCTTGACCACCGCTGATAGCCTGTTGTTATGGTAGGTAAAGATAAAATATTATCACATTACAATAACACCAGCCCTGTTTATATGTATATAGTTTAACGACAATTCAAAGTACAGGTTACCTCTAAACAACAATGTGCAACAAAAGTTTGGTTCTTTCGCTAATCCTTGGGTTGCAATGAAAGCACTTACAAATAAGATTTTACATTTTTGCTCCCTTTTCAGTGTCATCTATAGATTACCCAAACATTGAGTGAGATAGATAACTTAGAGCCAGAAACTTTACATGAAGACTTATACATCTGGGATCCTACTCTGATAAATTCACTGAGTGATCGAGTCATTAAAGAGTAATGCTGTCCATCGGAACTTAGCTCTACATTATCAGTGAGTCATATCCATGAAGAATCCATGTAGAGAATCAGTTTGTCAACAATATATTTGTAATGAATATCTACACACTGAATAATTACTTTATTTTGGAAATATCTCGGCCAAGATTACTACTCGTGATTACACTAGTTGTTCCAGTTTTTATTCATGAACCTCAGGTGGATTCGAGTCAGTGACCATCAGGTTTCCTGCTCCATGCTCTACCAAATGAGATACAAGGCCTGACTGCTGACCACATTTTTATTTCACTTCAACCATCAAGAGATTTCCTCAACTACCATGTGAATTCGTGACGCGTTACTACCGCTTGACCGTATTCACACTGGCTGCCTAGTCAAGACTTCTAATTTCAATCCAAATGTAACTGAGTTAGAGAGGGAGAGGATCATACTGGTTATCATTTTGACTGTCTGAGACAGCCGTAGTTTGACAGAGTAGTAGTAATACTAGGTGATGACTGAAGGTGTAATGGGAATTTTTATATCCTTATGTCCCTGTAGACTGGCGTTTAGTAAGTCCTCGGCGTTCATTTCTCTCGATTCTGAAAGATCAAAATGTTTGACCTACGTGATTAACTGGAAAGTCAACACAAAATATTTTATAAATGATCAGAAATTCAGAACTCCAGTTAATACCAGGTGACGAATTTGAGTATAGTGATACTGAGTCTCTTCACGGAAAACAGAATTAAACATTGTCTGAATACAAATGAGGGAATAAAATAAAGCTGAAGTCAGTTTCAACCTTCTGGGAAATATCTCTGTCTTTTTCTCAAAAATTTCACTCATTTTTAATCGTATTAGTTACAAAAATTTCAACACCATGGAAATTCCATATCTTGCAGCGCCAACTAGCTTTTTTATTGACTAACTCGCATGAACATCTTGTTCAGACAAATGCACACACACCCAAGGATTTACCTGGATTATCATCACTTCGGATCAAGGATAACCAGGTTCACTTTCTTCCGACTTGGTTTTACTCTAACAAGTTAGTGGCTACATTAAAGACAGGTCTAATGTTTTTGTGGGTCCTTTATCAAGTTAGCATTCATCACGGACTAAAATATGTTGGAAAACTACTGAGAAGCTGAGAGGATTGGATGGCTGTCTCGTCCTAGTAAGGGACTCTTCAGCTGTGTGCATACAAACTTGCTAGGGCTGGAACCCAGGACCTAGTCTTTCGCTGTCAACAAGCTGCTACCCAGGCACTGGTCAACAGCTTCCTAATTCTGTCAATTCATGATATAGTATGATCTTCATCCAACGCCATCACTGAGTGTTTGTCCTCATGTCCGACTTAGTTTGCCTCAGTGGTTACGATTTCTCATTAGAACTTCACGGAATCTCATTTCGAAGCAAGTCACCAATGAGCACTGAACAGTAATTGAGTTTAGAGGTTTGTGGGGGTTTATTGATTTCAAGTTGGTTTTCATCACGGGACTGAAATAAGTTGGGAAAACATTGGGTTCTTTTTATTGTAGCACTAATCGATTACTCAGCATCGACTTGTATTATGCACTCTAATCTGAGCATATCACAATCCAATTCAGTAGACCAGAATAATCAATACCTTTGTGATTGAAAAAATGATTACTTGTTGAGATGCAAAGTTAAATGTCTGGTTCGTAGACTCATTACACCTGGCGTACTACAGATGTTCGTCAATTTTTTCAACTACTGTACAACGCAGTATCGTCTGCGAAGAAGAACTTTGTCACTGTAAACTCCAGCCTAACACAACTCTGATAACACTGTTAGTACTAGTTAATAAACAGATAGTTAAAGAGAACCATGATTTGTTGTTTTACTCATTAGCAAGTAAAATTATGAAACTGGATGACACATTTAGTGTTTTTGAAATGAAGCTAAGACCTGGCGAGCGGCTGAGTCTCATAGGAGAATCTGCATAGTGATGAGTCAGTACTTCAGAGGTTGATGGTCTGATTCCCAATTTGACGTAGGTTTCCATTTTACCTGAGTTCATCACACCATGTGAATAGCATCAGTACTGAGTCGCTGGTTTCTTAGATAGTCTCATGAAAAAATGTCAAAACAATGAATACACATGAATTATCAGTCGATTACTGTTGAAAAAGTCTTGCATAAGAAGTCTGGTTAGGACTGTTTGGCTGATGAAGTGACTAAGCTTAGGATTTCCCTGACCATGACCTGGCATTAACATATATATTTTTAGACAGGCTACATATAAGAGTGATCCGACATTACTGTTTTCATTTTCAATGAGTTTGATCAAGGAATTGTTTGATAATTGGTTAATATTTTAAAGGCATTTTGGAAGTATCATCTGCGACGCTTTATGTAAACTCACATGAGGTAATAAATGTAGCATTGCGTCACCAGTTAATGTCCCAACAGCTAATGCCACCAGATATTGTATAACTTGATTGTAAAATACTTTTTGTACTAATGGTACCACACCGACACCTAATAGTCCAACTGCACTGATCACAAAAACTGATATTATTGAAGCGATCCAAACTAGAAAGATAAGAAAGAAACAGTACAGCTGACCAATCATCATCGTCATCTACTTCAAATTGTTCAAGTTAAAAAAATTACAATCATATGACGTGGCATCAAATGTCACACTTTGAGGAGAGAAAGGCATAACAAGGCCCAGCTGTATTATAATGAGCACGGAATATGGGCTGTTTGGCAGTTTATTTGTTATAGCAAACACTGGCTCAGTATTACTGACTGGATGACATTAGAAGCACAACTTACTGCTCATAATTATACTAAAGTAGTTCCACCACTTCCTATAATTCTTCTACAGCTGCTACTTTTATCCTGTTGATAAATGGATTTCCCGTACATTTAGGATTGGTATTGAATCATTCCTGTTACTAGTGTTCAGTCATCCTTAATTCCATATCACGATTATTCCTACCTTTACGTGTACCCAGACATTCACGTAAACACTGCGATGTGATACAGTCGTTTATATGCTGTTTTGGTTGATGTTGTATCACAGGCCTTGTCTTCCCTACAGTAATGACCTTGGGTGCATAATATGCTTTAAACATGGCAGATGTAACCCTTTTTCCATAATAAAGCAGTATGAATCACCTCTAGATGGTAATGAGATGTAAACATGTCTTAGGAAAAGAACACTGAATAGTTTAAACTGCTATATAACTTTTGTACTTGTTGACAAATTTCATTGGGTAGCCATTCCGTATCATTGATGTCATCAGCAAGTTGGTTTTAAAAAAGTTTTTAAAATAAGCATTGTTTATACTTAGTACTAGAAAATAATTTCTTTCTAGAGTTGGAAAACGCAAATTCCAGTAAGCAAATAAGGTTATCTATTTGTAGTTTTTCTTCACTTCAGTCGCGCTTTGTCTTCTTCTTTGATGAAATGAGTATATTCTGCCTTCCGAAGTTTGTAACATTTAGCACTGAGATTGAACAGAACTTATAATTTTAACAAATTATTCAACCCCATCCAGTGTGCTGGCCACCACATTTATATCAGAGAAGCTTGAAGTAGGAAATGTGAAGCAATTGATTTCTGATAATCAGTGCTAATTTACCACTCAACTGACGAGAACGATAAAACAGTGTTATGTACCCCTTAATTATGCCTAACTTGAGTGTGATATTTGCCTATAGCCTTAAAATAACTTTATTACTGGTGTTTTCACGCCCTCTTTATGCCACTGCTAGCTTTTGTTTTTTCCACTGCTTCTGAAGACTGAACCCTCATTGGTTGTTAACTCTTTTAACTTATCAGTGAATTTTGTGTTTTCAAGGTCGTTCATGATGTATATATTCAGAATCACCCTCAACTGTTGTTAAAATAGTAGAAGTTCTCTATCGACTGTTCGTCTTCTCTTCTTGTCTTCGTATCCCGGCAGTCTTGTTGTTGTGGTCATTTACGTCTTGATAAGAGATTAAAGTAGATTCTTTTGAGCGTTAGGTTCATATTGCATTCAGACTGCTAGGTCACATTACCATTCATAGTAAAAAGAAAATGAAACCGACATACTTCAAGAATAAGCATTTATTGGTGCATTGCATTCTAAATAAAATGCCATCAACATAATTAATCAATTTCGTTTTAGTTTATTTATCAGAAATTCCACACAGTGAAGCAGTATCATTTACCGTGTTTCTGTATCCAGTAAATGATGCCGTTTCACTGTGTGACATTCCTAATTAGCAAACTGGAGTGGAATCACAACCTACCACAGTGCTCAAATTTTACTTTCCTATTAATGATCCAGTAAATGATACTGTTTAACTGTAAGACATTTCTAGTAAACAGACTAAAATGGAATTACAACCTACCACAGTGCTCAAATTTAACTCCTATATTAATGCAACATATGATCTTTCTGTTGGAAGACCAGTTAATAATTAATCAATACTGATTAAAAAAGAGTAAGTTATCAGTCAACTAACCTTTAGGTCTTATATTCCAGAAACTGTAAAAGTTCGAAGCCTGTAAATTGGAAAGAAATGCATAAAGGTTCTTAATTGTTCTACTATAAATAAACATATGTGACTATTATCATTTGCAGAAACCTAAACTTTTACCTAGTATTTTCCATTTAACCAAGAGTGATTAACATGAGTCTAGGTAAATATCACTTCATTTTAGCTTCTAACTTGATGAAATCACATAATTACACACAGGAAACAAATATTTTCTTGACAGTCTCTAGCACCTTATGATCAAATCAACTGCATCTGAAAAAAACATGCAGAATAGTATTTGGAGAGAGGGTGAAGGGTGGTTCATAAATGTTTTTCGCTTCACAAACTTGAATAGAGCAAAAACAACAGCTTTAGCAGAAAAACATAAATATGTTTTATTTTGCTGTTTCTCACCAGGTGCTTGCAACCTAAAACAATTTTGCTATCAATTTCCATAAGTCTATCTAGAGGTTTGTAGAGATTTATTAGTTGATTTCAGATTGGGAATTCACCATAGACTGACATCAAACCTGAAAGCACTGGACAACTTTTTCGTCCTTGTATGAGACTCCTCATAAGTGCGAACCGAAGATCCCGCTGGGGATCGAGTAGAACCTTTAGGTTCCGTGGACAGCACGCTACCATTGAGCGCGGTCATGGGTGCACACTGCTGAGGAGTCACATACTATGACAAAACGGCTATCCATTGCTCCCAGGTTCTCAACGTTCCTCCACTTGATGTCTCTCTGTGATGAATTCCAACCTAAAATTTATATACATGGATCTTTTGGTAGAAAATTGTCGGCTTGATTTAAAAGTAATATCAATATTAAGAAATTGGAAACACGCGAATTGAGGGGATAAATATGCGAAGCTAGCGTGTCTGTCAATATATGGAAGGAATAAGCAAGTTTTCTAGAGCAGAAGTTGGATTAGAGGGGGAGACAATTGTATTCAGTATGTTAAGAAAGGTTACACAAAATGTGTGAAAGGTCACGAGAGTTATGTTAACTAAGAACTGATGTGAGTAGAATTCAAATAACTGGGCCAAGAGTGTAAAATGTAAAGTAACAAAAATAAAACCAAGTTATATGAATCGACAGTGAAATGTAAAAAGCATGATGATTATCAACATCATTGTAAACAGACTGATAACTGTTTCTTTCTGAACACGTAAGTTTGATTTTAATCGTTTAATGACTAACGCTTAAGCGAGACGAAATAAATTCGAATTCATTTGTTCATTAGTTATTTTGAATGTTTTCTGAACATCAACTTCATGTCCACTATCAATAAGGTGGGGAGCAATAGCCCTATTGAAAACTTTCACACATCTCAGTTGCGAATTCCTTGGAAAATGCCTAGACATCAGGTCATAAACCTCTCTTTCTGTTCGTCCTATATATGTGCTTTGGCATGTACTTGTGAACTGATAGATGCAGTTGGAAGGGACATGAAGAGGGGACTTGTCAACCTTTGGTTGTCTTAGTGAGCAGTTTATTCGGTAGAATGCAATTAATTCAGCAGCTGGATGTGTCCTTTTCAAGAATATTTTCAAAGAAGACTTCCTTTAATATAGAACAAGCAACAAGTGTGAAAAAAGCAGAGTTTAATGGATTCATAAATTTCAGTAGTACTCGTCATCTGGATACTCTACATACTTGATTATATGTATATATTGTTTTCAATGGCGTGATCGACGCTCAGTCGATTTAGTCCTCACTCCTATGTCAACAGTTTTGAATATCCATTTCTATCCTCTGGATTACCATTTGACCTGTAAAAACTATTCACTTCTATGTTGTTACACCTAAATCTGTCTCAGTCTACGTTATATATGTATGTATGCTCCAGTCCATGGCTTAACGGTATACATAATGAAGTATGCAGAGTATCCAGGTGACGAGTTTATGAATTTATTAAATCCTGCTTTTTTCACACTTGTTGCTTGTTTTAAATTTATATGGGGGAACAAATGTTTTCAACTTCCTTTTATCTTTAATACAGATAATCAACGGAAAAAGTTGTTTCAAAGATAGCCTCACTCAGGCATTCTAATGTAACCGCATGGTCAAGCAATTACAGTAGATTGTAAAAGCATATAATGTCATTATTGTTAACGCTCATCATACTGTCCATGCACTATAAAAACTCCTTCTTCTCAAAGTGTACTATTTTATTGTCTTACCATGAAATAACCATTGCCTAAGGCGTATCTCGAAGTTTGGAGATAGCAATACTCTCCATTTTGTTCGTCTTATGTTAATCAACAAACAACTGTAAAACTATTGATCTTGATGACTAGCAGAGTAGTTCAGAACGCGAGTCTCATCCCACTTGAGACCCGTAAGCTGGATATATCTGCACTCTAGTTGGTTATGTTGTTCCCACTAAGGCTTCAACTTAGTTTCCTTCGCTTCAAAAGCCAGAGCCACTGAAGCACGACAACCACCTCTTGTACAACAGTTGTCACTTGTTGTAATGATACTTGTAATTTCCCGTTGCTATACCGAAGCTAATTGCTGGACCTCAATTGGCAAATGGGCGCTTATGAGGATACATCAATGCTACCGGATATTCATGATGCCCTGGATTCTTCTGCCAGTCAACAAGATCATTATAACATCATGAGCATCTGACAATATAGAGGCATCCGTATAGGAGCCCATCTGCTAGCAGAGGTCCAACAATTCAGCCTTTATTGCAACTGGAAATTACAAGTATAATTACGACAGCTGTAGAACTAGGTTGCATGTTTACTAACGCTTAGCAACACTAACAACAGTGTTTAGTAAACTGAAGTCTCGATAAAACATTGAAATCAACATTATTCTGTTTCACATACGAAGAAGTTTTTTTTGATCTTTTCTAGCTGTTGTTGTTAAATATATCAGAATGGACTAAGTAAAGTAATAGATAATCAAAAAGGAGTCAATTACAAAAAAAATGTTTCATGGCATCGGTAACATAAAAACGTTCATGAAACAAGATCTTCCCTCTTACTCCTAGAGAATTCAATCAGTTCGCATCAACAGAAATATGGAGTGGGTTATGAATGAGAATGAAGAGTCAGCCATAAAGGTCAGAGAGTGTTTTGTAGCAACATTGATTACGAGTGACATATGAAATGGAGGAAATAACTGTGTGACATCTGAATTAATCGTTTACTTTGAGCTTTCAGTCGTGAGGTTAATACTATCATGGCAGTAATAATCTCACTAACCATTCAATTGAGTCTATAAAGATGCAGTCGCTTAATGTGTATCATAGAGGTTAAGCAATAATAGAGAAAATTTGGTGCAGTAAACTTTGGACGATCGCAATACATATATTGTAGATGACATTTTATGCTTAGTCACTACTTTGAAAAACTTTCTATGGATCCACTAATTATTGTTCTACGCCTTACTGATTTAAGGTAACACTATTTTTACCATAAGAAATATTGAACGTTTTCTAAACCGAATGAAAATGTCTGTTTTTGCTTAGTTACATACTACACACTTGTTGTTCTTACATGACCTTGTCTTCTATTCAGTTCAAATAACGGGTTACGAAAACTTGGTTTTGACTTAAGTGACACTTGAATGATCTAAGAAGTGTTTATGTCATGGTAGTATTCATCACCGATTGAAATTAGTTCGAGAATCACTGAGAACCCCGAACAACCGTTTCCTCCTTGTGTAGAACACCTCAGCCAGTCCCCACAACCTTCAAACTGAATTACTGTCTGTTTTTCACTAGTAACACTGTTCAAGATGTGTTTCTCAAAGTCTAATATGAAACCATGGCCTGAGGGGTTACACAAATTCTGTGTGAGAACAGATACTCAATGATAGCGTTGGATGATGCGCTGTATCGTGAATCGACAAAAGTAGGAAACTGTAGACACATTGCCTGAGAATTAAAGATCTTAGGTTCGATTCATAATAGACAGTTGGTACACACTAATGAGTAGTCCTATACTAGGACAAAGTAGCTGTTTATTTCCTGTAGGTTTTAAATTGTCCTCCAACTGATGTTAATTCGTGATGAGTACTACCTTGAAATCGATAAGTTCCAACAAAGTTCCAAATGGAAACACTTATGTTTAACATAGTCCTAATTAATTTGATTAAATTAATTTGATTAAATTCGATCGTAGCATCTGCACATAGCATAGTTATATATTTTCTGTCTGTCAGCATTACTATGAAAGCTGTGTTATTGGACAAATTTCAAATTAAGTCAATCTAGTGTCACGCATTCGACTGAAAAGACAGTTCATCAATCAAACTTATGCACACATTTCTCAGCTTACTTTGTGAAACTTTCAAAGTCATTTAGTTGAAGTTATTGCATCTTTTGTTCTGTACTCCTAGTTTGGTGAAAATGGCAGTACTTAGGTTGAAGTGATTAGGCCTTTATCTTAGTGTATGCTTTATTCCTGTTACCCAGTATGTTAGTATAGTTTGATGGTATATAATTTCGGTAAAATACTTCTAAAAATATAAATGACTGGATATTTCACAGATATTTGCATGAATTTTATTATAACTATTTTTGTGATACTTGTAATTCTGTGTTGTTGTGCTGGACGGAATTGGTCGACCTCTATTGGCTTATTTGGGGACAGCATCATTCACTGGGGTGGGGGTAAATCCAGCTGACGAAACGAATGTCTTGGATTCCTGGATTTAATACATTTCGTTCCTAGAAATTTAGATATTACCAGTTTTATTAGATTTCGCGTACCTCCTCCAAAGTATATTCAAGTGGAAAAATCTCTTCATTCATTTAGCGCTGTAAAATTTTATCATAAGCATAATTTTCTCCCCCTACTGCCGTCAGGTAGCTTTGGGTTCATCAACAGGTTACATAACTCAGCAACTCTAGGACTGTATTATTCAAGTTAGTGGTTATAATCTGCATAGATATCATTAAGCTTTCAAAGTAGATATTTTCATCAATTAAACTTACTTCAGGTCGACTTTGTGAAGTATTCTTCGACTCAGCAACTGTTCTATACAATTCCATACACATCAACTTAAAGTTTTGCTCAGTTTTGTTTTCAAGATACATCTTTATGTTATCATATCCATCTAGACTGGGTAGTGCTGAAAATGTCTGCACAGAAAAGGAAAATGCAAACAAATATATGTGACAACAAAAATCAACGGAAAGTAAACAGTGCTCACTTTAACACTTAGGTCATTCGTAATCGTATAACGTTAGTGTATATATATCATAATATTCACTTAAATTAGTAATCTGTACAAGGTAGTTTTCAGCCAACAGGTTAGTTGATAATTTAGAGTAATCCCTACCATTAAATGTAGAAACTCTAGTCGGAGATTTCCTACAAAGTAGTTTTGATGTAATAGTTTGTGAAGCTTCGTCGCTGATTGGAGCAAGCTGATTGGCAGTTTTCGCCATTTGGGCTTCTGTGCAAATGCCTAGACATTGCCGGTATTTTCATTCTTAATATTAACGATGGATAGTGAAATCACAGCCGAATGTTTGGTCTTTTTGGAGGCTCGGCAGCCAGCTGTTTCTGTTTTCCAGGGAGCGATGTTCTCACCAAGACAACAACAACATCGCTCCCTGGAAAAGAGAAACAGCTGGCTGCCGAGCCTCCAAAAAGACCAAACATTCGGCTGTGATTTCACTATCCATCGTTAACATTAAGAATGAAAATACCAGCAATGTCTAGGCAATTGCACAGAAGCCCAAATGGCGAAAACTGCCAATCAGCTTGCTCCAATCAGCGACGAAGCTTCACAAACTATCACATCAAAACTTGAACACAGGGCTCTATCTGTTAGACAGGAACACCTTTTTGATGAGACCCAGATATGATGAAACGCACGTTCTGAATCCAACTGCTAGCCAAAAGGCATCACCGAATTCCGACAAAGTTATGGTGGTATAATTATGGGATATTTTACATTACGTCATTCATTCATTCATAGCCCGGATAAAATATCAGAGCCCGGGTACATTTATGCCTTCTGCTGGTATGGTCACTCTTAGACATTAGCAACTTTAGTAAACACAGAAAAATAGATTGAATGGCCATAGGAGTTGTTGATGAAAAGTTCAGTAATGCAGCATCCAAGAAGAAATTTTATTACAGCCAGAACAAATAAAGTGATATTCAAGTACACATAAACTTAAACATCGAAAGTTTGTTTAGTTTAAGCTTATGACTTTATGAAATAACATTTAACTGTTATCCTCTGAATAATCTTGGAAGCAAATAAGTGCTAAGCCGATATCAAAGGGTGTATCTATGGTGAAAAGAACTCATATAGAAAGTGAGTTAGAATATCTTTGCAGACTGAATTGTTGTTTAGTAAAAACTGGAATATTTTCATGTCAGTAAAGACCCTAAACCTTGGATACAAAGTCTTCATGAATAGCAAATGGTAATGTAACATTCTATAATTGACTTAATCCCATTTTTTCCGAAAATCATTTCTATTTATGGCTAATAATCGATTCTCGTTAGCTGAATTCATCATAATTTTGTGATTGAAAGGTAAGTTTATTTTTCATGTACCTTACGATAGCTATATGATTCATGTCCACTGTTCACTGGAATACATCAAGTTTTTGATCACGTTATTCACTGATGTTAAAAATATTGAACTCTTTTGTTTATTAGATCTAATAGTAGCCTGTCATAAATGGTACTTAAAATTGAAAAATCTACCTGAAATGAATTCTAGAATCAATATTTTATGCACTAAAAGACTTACACCACAAACAAGACTTCTAATATTAAGCTATTTTTGAGACCAGGTGCTAAATTTATTCCTGCTTCGTAGCAGTGGTTTAACTATACTCTCTGGATTGATTAAAATAATAATCAGATACATTTTTTGCTTTCCTAAATAAGTAAGCAACAATTCTTTTCCCAAATACTCTGTTCACTGAAGCAGTACTTACTGAGTGAAATGCTTTTGGTGCTTATGCAGAGAGAAAGATGAATATAGCAAACAAGTTTCTCATGGATTATGTATGCTGCATTCCACTGGATAAAAGCCAGATGCCACTGTAATAGGATTTGAATTTCGCATAGAGTTTCAGATATCTTTCATGGTAAATAGCAGAATCAATAATATCTACAGCACTAACTTATATCAGCTTAAAGCAACGTCTCCACTTTTATTGACAAACTATACTTGATTGGTTACATTGTTCAACAAGGAATAAGTCGTCATGGACTGACATCAGTTAGAGGAACAATGAAAACCTAGGAGTACTGGGTAGTTGTTTCGTCCTAGTAAAAGACTCCCTGGCAGTGTGCACCTATGACCCCGATCGAACCTAGGACCTTGATGTTTTGTGGCCTGCATGTTATTATTGAGCCATTGGGTCGAAATTCAATGGTTAATAAGTCTTTACAAACCTCCAAATTGAAAGAGTAATTCAGTGAGTGCTGACTCCTCGAATAATGTTACAAAAGTGTTTATGGATAGTTTGGAAGACTTGTTTTCAATGTGAAATTCAGTCCATAAATGTCAAATAGCTTGAAATTGGGTTGCCAAGCTATGGCATTTCAACAAACTGAAAAACAGACATATTTGCTACATTTCATAGAGCAACAGTTAGACTCTGTAAACCTTATGTAAATGAATTCATAACATAAGCAGAAGATATCGCTGTTGGTGATAACTACTTTACTGATGAGTGAATAAACCATATCAGTATAGGTTGGTCATAGTTCACTATTTAAGCATTTTAACTAAGCCATTTTACTAATTTAAGAGCATCATGGTCACTGTTTAGTTCAAATAATATGGGTGGAAGTAACTATCACAGCGTTGTACTTATTTAAAAAACACAAATTTATTCAGCGTAGAAAATTTTCTTTTTGAGGATGCATTTTCAGCTGCTGTATATTTATATTAATTACAAACCAAAAAAGCAAATGAGTCCATTGTTGTGCTCACAGGTCGGCATTAGGTCATCGAGATAGAATCTTCTGAAGTGAAATAGTAGATCGATTCTAGAGTTAGAGATCGATTACACAATCAAGCGTATATAAGGAAAACATATAATAGAAAATAACGTCATGACTAATAGGTTAAAAAATAACCACGTGAAAAATGATAATACTAATACTAATTATAATCACAGTGAATTACCGTGAGAATTTTAGTGGAAGATTGCAACCAACGTGTGGCAAAGTAAACCACAAGGTAAAAATTAAAAATAGAGTTATGATAATCAGTCAGTAAGAGTAACATGAGTATTGAAGCAGTAAGAAAACTCAAGAAAGGATTATGACTGTGGTAAAATAAGAGGATGGATGTACCTCTTGTTCACGCAGAACTCAGGCTTTAGTAGCTGGATTGCCAACGCTTTTGCTGTGCATAAGTAATGAATCCGTACTCCTTCGAGATGTTTGGCTTGACTTTGTATAGGATTTTGATAGAAGACTTTGGGGGAAGTGATATGTCCCATGTTTACCAAATGGTAGAAGATGCGATTGCTGTTTGACTTGTGCTGTCTTATGGTTTAGTCTCATTTTCTACTAGCTCACGAAGTATGTTCATTAGATGTGTGAAAGCTAGAGTACTGAGAACTCCTTAAATGGTTGAACCGACTGATTTTTCCATTGATCAATCTATACAGATGTCCAGTGTATTTCCTTACCATAATTCAAGAATTTGGAAGAAATAAGGGTAGAATACACGTAGCTGAAAAGTTTTAATGAATTGATTCCCTTTCATTACAGTAGTCATGTTCGACATTCATATAGAAAAGTAAAACTAACCAGGAATAGTAATTTCAATTTTCTAACTGGGAAACGGTTTCTTACATATGTTTTGGTCTGCTCGAACTTCGAGCTATGTCATTTTATCACTGAGTATATTACACCAAATTTTTCCTTTCTACATTGTTTTAAACAGTCAGTTATGTAATCTTATCGTATCACTTACTCCCGCACATTTTAAAAATTGTTGAGACCTATCGCTCTACAAGTTGATGACTATCAAGCGCATGCCTATTGCAGAACTTACAGAACCTATTTATCAACTTCGCAACAATAAATGATCTCTGATCAAAAGTATAACTAACAATGTGAAATTTTCCTCGTTATTAATATTCTTTTCATAAATACTTATATTAGCACTATTCGAAATGTTGTAAAGGAGTATGTATACACATACTGTTTTTCATTACATTGTATCATGCCGAAAAATCCTTATGGCAGTAAAACATTGTTCGGAATAAAATGATCATTATTAAAGCATTTGGAGAAAACCATGCAGTCTTATAATATTAGTTCTATTTTGATGGAGGTGTTTTGCAGGATTTAGCGATATAAAACAGAGGCTCAAGAAAGTACTACCTAATAGTTCAGAAAAACGGATCTGTATATTTTATTCAACATATTATGTGGCGAAAGTACTGAAAGTGCTGTTAAACAGGATGTCTATTTAGAAATGTCTTTCTCTAACTGAATGCCGTTGTCTGAATGTTTCAAGATGATCCTTAATCCAGATTTGAGGAGGAAATATTCTGTGAATTAGGTTATTTCTATATTAGCAGATCACAATTTATAATCTGATTAGATTCATTTGCAATAAAAATTCTAATGAAGCTTAAAATAATTAACATTTTCGCTGAGTATCTTGGAATAATCTAATTTGATTTTAAACTGTGAGATCGTAGTCAACTAAATTAGTAATTTATCAGGTTGTGTAAACCATTAGATCTTCTGTTAATGATCTCTATTCCATAGAAGGGAAAAACTCATATGATGTTCAGATTATTTCCATATACTTACTAAGCACCGATGATAAGTCAAATTGGTTTGTATCTGCTAATGTCAGTCGGCAGTATATATTATGAAGAGACTGGAGAAATGCTCTAATTTTGAAAGATAAATATGTATTCTTTATTAAAAATCCAAAATATAATTTTTGCAAACTCAAAGAAGACTGATTTCAGTATACTGATGTCTAATGTTAAAATTATGTAATAGTGTTGAAAACACAGTATGAATCCCTTAAAACGTTTGTAGACTATTTGGCACATTGTGATCAATCTGTTAAAAATAAAGTTTGCAAATAGAAAGATGCACGTGACAGATAGTAATTGAGACGAGACTT